CCAAGCGAGGAACACGGCCAGACGGTCAGCAAACTTGCGCGTAAAGAGGTATGGGAGTGATGGTGTGATTGGCTCTAAGGTGATCGCAAGATGAGCACCGACGAATAGACCTGATAAGCAGAGGGATACAGTTATTAGGATAACGGCGAGAAGAGCCATGAAAGAGTAGCCGCCATTTCGTGGAGCAATAGCTGTGGTACCGGGGTTAGGTAGATCGTTCGACAATGCAAGAAAGATATCTCGAATGAAAGCGGAAAAGGAGGTGAAAGAGCCACAAAAGCCTGTTGCAAGGCCAATGTAGAGCGGTATGGTCTTCTTGGTAGCCATATAGGCTTTCTTTGCGGCTGCGAGATCGACAGCAGGCATCTCAGAACCAGATCCGGCACTCTCTTCAGCCTGGCCATTCTCCTTCGCCCTGCGGATCTCCCTGTCATATGTCGGCGTCCCCCATTCCGAGCGGAACAACATCCTATCCTCTGCGAGAAACCCCATGAATACGCTACCACCAAAATTTGGCCATAGAGACGTAAATATGGATGGCGTCCCGGGATACGTTGTCAGAGCCTGAAGTCCTAGCCTCGCTAGAGTTCCGAAGAACGAGAAGAGAATCAAATAGGAGATCGTGTAGATCTGAGTAGCAAGCCTAGATACCCTGACTGGTGTTTCCGACTCTCCCGGTGGTTTCTCCTGCGTTGGACTCTCTTCCGCACCTTCTGATCTTCTCCTACTTGCTCGAGAGACATCCCTTTGATACTCTTGCTCCCGACTTCGTGTCTGCTCCAAACTCCCATGTTCGTATATGGCCTCTTCGTCTGGGTTCTCGACGACTGACCCAGCCGCAAGCTCGTCGAGGTTCGCAAACGCATCAGGCACATCGTAGACGACATTGGCGGCTGTGGATCGACGGCGCGCATTGCGCGCATCTCTGTCAAGCGAACCTTGAGAAAATCTCCTCGAACGCCCGCGCGTCGATGATCCGCTGCCGCTCACACTTCCATGCCGTGACGGGCCACTCAATTCGCGACTGTCCTCAAGGGTGAGACTGTGCCTAATTTGTTCCTCGTCATCGGGATTCTGGACGGGGGGTTCGATGTTAACGTCGTCGAGATTCCGAAACGCCTCGGGAGTGTCGTAGTCTACTGACGGGCGCGACGCGCGCCGATCGTTTCTTGCACTTCGAGATGCGCGGGATGTTGTCTGATGCATTTCATTCTGTGCGAATGGAGATGGATCTTCCGAGGCAGGGCCATCTGCCGCATTGGACAGAGGCGTGGCAATGTGCGCTTCGTCGTGGCCGGCGACTTTGTGGTCGCAGTCAGGCTGTGACGTCGTTTCGTCCTGGCGGGTGTGGGGTTGCATCATTGTTTAGATCTCTTGGCGATGCACGATCTCCTCTTGGCCTTCTCTAACGGTTCATATTATGATGTTCTCAACAGTGCACGGCCAGATGGAGAAGATGAGCCACATGTCAAGGCATGAGCGTGCCTGTGTTCAGATCGTTACATCGAGAAAAGAGATTGTTCCTAGGGTTCTAGGAATGAGAAAAGTTCCAGCGATAACAACCAGGTCGCCGGGTCGGAAAAGTCGCTAAGTTACAGCGGGGTTCCGCCTTAGCCGGTTCTAACTGTGAGTCGCGTCGAACTTCCTTATCTAAGCTCAACTTCCATCTCTCTTTTCCCAATTCGTCTTCGTCCGTTGTCACCATCACCTCAGTCTCATTGATAATGGATCAATTGCAAGAGGCTCACATGTGGAGGTTCTTGGATTACGTAGAGGCGAACGGCGTCAGTCAAGTGATTGAGCTTTCTCGATGCTTCAGGCCATTGCTCTTTTCAGCTGCGTTCTCCTGAGACTTCAGATCATGATAAAGCCGAACGGTCACAATGGGCTTTCACGCCCTAGGTTTTAAGCTGCACTTTAAAGTCAGACATTGTTTCGGAATGCTGGCAAGAATGCAGAATTGACTCAGAAACTCTTTCAGTGAACCGGAAACTGTATGAAGTCTGTTTGTCGGTCTTGCCGTTTGTCTTGAATTCGAGTTGACATAACTCAGGACTTTCAATGACATGACTTTCTCCTTTCCCACGGTGCTGTTCCAGAGCTCATAGTTTTTAAGGCGCATCTTGTATATCAAATAGCCTGATCGAGTGATCCTACGGCCGAACTCGTCCATAGGTCTAGAGTACTACGCCAGCTTCCGCACATCAGCTCTTTTACTATTATCGCCATGCTTCGGGGACGTCAAACATGCGTCGCCATGGTGGTTCTTTTCACGACAGTCGTCCAAGCCAACAGCCTTGGAGACTGGATCAACAACCCAGGTTATCTACAGGGAGGAACACCAAAAGAGCAAATCAAGTGTTATGTGCTTCCCTATGGTGCCTTGGGCTTCATTACTCACCTGCTTACCTCCTATTGTGTCGCTTGCCTCGCTCGGGGTCGAAGCCCATGGCATCCAGGCTCCCGTCTACAACGCCCGAAGCTGGACATTGTTCTTGCAATGATTGGTATGATGATCTCGCTTTTCATCAATATGCTTGTTGTCTTCAAATGCTGGAACTCCTGGGAGTTCATTCTCATCGCCGTATGGAAGATATTCTTATCCCTAACACTATCGGCAATCACACTGGATGCTGGCTTCCGGACTCTGCGACGCGAAACACTAGGCAACACGCAAATTAGGGTTGTCTGTGAATCAACAAGGCACAGGACTCGCACAGCCTTCGATAGATTCCTTGATAACGTCCCCAAGGTGCTCTTGCCTTGCATGAAAAAGCGCCAGCGTCCAAGGAGTCATGCCAGTGGCTCGGTCGAAACTCATTGCATCAACACTAGCTCCGAAGACTATCCTAAGACACTACGATGGTTATTCTTAGAACTTGCCGGTACCATTGCGGGCTGTACTGGCTTGTTTGCGTTAATGCAAAGGGAGGACTTCGAACGGAAGAGAGCATTCTGGGCCATTTCTCTCGCTTTTGGCCTCACTAGCAGCTCCGTCTTCGGAGGAGCTATCATGTGGTCTTACAAAAGCCGTATGCATCGAAGAAAAGCTAAGCATGATTTCGATGTAAATGAATGCGAGAAGAAATTTCTCTATCAAGCCGGCCGAAACGGGCGAGGTTTCTATGGTCGACCTACTCAAGCACCTATTCTACCTCCACAGCCTCTGCTCAGACAAGAAGAGCCTGGGGCACCGACACCAATCCCGGTATCACACCCTGCACAGCATCTGCCAGATAGTGACCGTCTTCGAGAAACAGAGGACCAATTGCTATTACAAATTGAAGCGATTCGCCGGCGCCCTTTACTCGAAATTGAAGACCTACCTATGATGGTAATTCAAGTTCTCGTCTTTGCAATCGTCACCTCCTGTCTCGTTGCTGCGCTTTACAGTGATTGGATTCTTGCTTACACTTCCGGATCCTGGAGCGGCATTCCCAGCACCGATAACATGTTCGTCAGCTTGATTTACATGGCCTCGAAGCTGATGCCACTTTTTCAATCATAGTGTCGCAACGGCGCAGGCTCGCCAGGCAAGTGCAATGAAATTGTTATTATTACATCGTTCTGATCGTCCGGCCCACGGTTTGTCATGACGCGCCTTGAGCTTGGGCTGACGTGAGGCGGTTGATGCCATGTCTACGCTGATCCTCAATCGTGCCAATGAAAATTGGGTGCCTTGCATCAGCTGTTAGACTTCCAAGCTTACTGGTCGCTATGGTCAACTCTCCGTGGACGTGCGGAACTTCACAACCGGTTCAGCCACGAGCCCGAATCTGTCCTGCCGAAATCATGTAATGCCTCAAACAAGGCATGTATGATAGCAAATTCACATTGCGACTTATACGGGTGCGAAAGTAGATTACTCGACCTATCGGGGCAACGACTGCGGGCTCTTGAGATCTCCTTCCGTAAAAGTGTTCGCTAGATGTCGATCTATTCGAGAGCAGGCAGGTGGTACGACACAGGGCGTGGGTCAGCGCCTCGGATACCAACGGATATTTTGTTGAAGTCAAAGATGCAATTGTGTTTGTACAAGACGACATACGTCGTTTCTCACTTGTCTTGTATGTAATCATTATTTATCGTGTTGGTTTCCGCAGTTGTGCAATGAGATGGCACAGCCACACCGTGTAAGTCGTCGATCTTGTCTAGCAGTCTATCATCCTAGCGGAGTATCTCGATTCAATGTTCTCCAAACCTCTGGTTTCCCCGCATCGAATTAATGAGTTAAGCTCTTCTTACTGGAGTGGTCGCAAACGGTCAATCGTAGGCCACCCAGCTACGGCAGAGTGCCGATCTGCTGCTCAAGCGCATGGTTCCTCGGACTTTAAATTGCCTCTGCATCGCGTCTCTTAGCGAATCTGCTGGATGCTTAGCTCTGTGCCCCGCCACGGCAGTGGCATCAGCCAAGCCTACAGCGAGCAAGGGTGAGCTTCGAAGAAGTCCATGCTGGGAGGGATCCGTCGCCCGTGTTTTAGGCTGATTCCTTGCACCCAAACGTCACCACTCCAGTCACCGGCGAGGAAACCCCAATCAGAATGCCGCGGAGACAAATTGAGCTTCCTCATCGGTATAGCAGCAACAGGCAGCTACCGTGGAAGCATCATATGGAGCTTGCCGAGCCCGCGTCACTTCCAGAGCACGCAACTGTGAGCACCTGGGCGGCCTCGGCGGTGCAGCTCCTTCGAGCAACTGCTCTTCAGCCCCATTGGTGAAGCTACCCTGCGTGCGGAGAGGTTGCAGGCGGCAGACGATCCTCTCCACCATCAATACCCACAACGCTCCATGCTACGGGCCTAATACGAAGCTTAATGGAACGCCTAAGCTCCCACAGAGGTGGGTAGAGACGATAAGGTACTGTACAATGGTTCATATATGACCTCGCTCCCCTGCGTGGATCCAATGCGCTAACTCCGAAGGCTGAAAAGCTGCTCAAGTCTTGGAGATTCGTCTTGTTTCAGCGTTTGTATTCAATTGCGTTGTTACAAGTTGTAAATATGCTGTTGAAAAAGGCACTCTTGTCACTGCTGCTGTCGTCGATTGCAGTGGACGCTGCAATTGATGATACTGCGCACTTGAGAAAGGCTCTTGCCGCTTCACGGAAGCAGACGCCAGTCGAAGAGCAGCCTGTAATTGCCAAGCGGCAATCAGAAGACACGCCGTTCTTAAATTCCAATACAACAAGTATGTTGAGTCGTCTTGAGTAATGTGAAGAGCACGGAATTGATACTTTCTTCAGAATTCGTCGTCAACGGTTCAGCAATCCCCGATGTCGATTTTGATGTTGGCCCTTCGTACGCCGGCCAGCTTCCTGTAGGCGGTGACAGCGATGGACGGCTGTGGTTCTGGTTCTTTCCTACAACTGATCCTGATGAGCCAAAAGAGATCATTATATGGCTCAACGGAGGTGTAAGTCTTGATAGGATTCCAGAATAACATCACTACTAACTATCACCAGCCTGGATGCTCATCATTAGACGGTTTCTTAAAGGAACATGGTCCCTTCTTATGGGGTACAGGTACCTACGCGCCAATTAAGAACCCTTGGAGCTGGCATCATGTCTCAAATATCATATACGTGGAGCAGCCAATCGGCACCGGCTTTTCCCAGGGCACGGTGACCATAACGAGCGAGGAAGAGCTTGCAGAGCAATTTCTGGGCTTCTGGAAGAACTTCGTGACGACCTTTGGCTTGGAGGGCTACAAGGTTTATGTTACCGGTGAAAGTTACGCGTATGATCTCTATCCCTCATGGAAGGTGAAGTGTCTCTAACCAGAACAGTGGAAAGTACTGCCCGTACATCGCCAGCGCGATGGTCGACAAGAATGATACGACGTATTACGATGTTAGCGGCTTGCTTATCTACGATCCTGTAATATCGGATGGTGTCACACAAGAGGTGCCCACACGGTATTTCGTTGACTACTGGTCCGGCCTGTTCCCCTTCAATGACACGACAAAGGCAGCTATTGCAAATGCTTCTGAGGCATGCGGATATGATGCCTTTGTGGACAAGTATCTAGTATTTCCGCCCGTCGGGCCGCAGCCTGTGCCAGAGAAAATGCCGGGTATCAATGCTAATGGTACCGATTTGGTCGACGGCTGCGAGCTCTTTGGCATGGTCTGGGATGCTATCCTTGCGATCAATCCAGGATTCAATGTTTATTATGTTGCTCAGCCAGTTCCAGTACGTGTTCTAATTGGCTTGCTACATTGAAACACTCGTGTCAGGTGTCTGCAGATTATGGTTTATCCATTTCCAAGACCCCTTTCTCATCCCTACCTCACTCACCTTTCCTCATACCATCATCTAATAATTGTTACTCTAGATTCCGGACGACGTGCTCGGATTCCCATCATCGGTCTTCTATACTGCTCCAGGGCGGGAGATCTACTTCAACCGTACGGATGTCAAGAAGGCCATCAACGCGCCATTAGATGTGAACTGGGAGATCTGCTCCGAGCAATCCGTCTTCGATGGCGGAGACTCCTCTGACCCGTCAATCTGGCATGCCATTCCCAATGTCATCGAGAGGACCAAAAACGTGCAGATTTCACACGGTAGCTTGGACTTTGTGCTCCTGGCCAACACCTCCCTCCTAGCCATCCAGAATATGACATGGGGCGGCAAGCTAGGCTTCCAGAGTCAACCAGAAAGTCCTCTGTTTGTGCCAGATCATGACCAATCCGTGATCCCTGGAATCAGTGGTCAAGGTGTCTTGGGAACATGGCATGAAGAGCGCGGTCTGCTCTGGTCGGTCGTCGACTTGTCTGGCCACATGGTTCCCACTTATCAGCCGGCTTTAGCCTTCCGTCAAATTCAAAAGCTGCTCGGACGCATTGATAGTCTTAGTAGCCTCGATCCTTTCCCACAATATTCGAATGCTACCCAGCCAACTGCTGACGAGCTGGGGAAAGGCACCGCTCCGATTCTGGGAAGGAATGCAAATGACACGTCTGGCGGCTCAGGAGGTGGCGGCAGCTGCAGTGCAAGTGGATCAGGAACTGCAGCGTCGCCATCTGGCACATCGCGTTAGTCCTCCTTTTCTTAGAATTATGATAATCTCAAGGAATAGAAGGATGCCACCAAGGTGTTATGTCTTCTAACACGCGATAGCATCCGCTGCCAATGGGAATAGAGCAAACCTTCATCTTTCATGGAGCATTACAACATCAGTGGTAATTGCAGCTATGTTTCTGAGCAATTAAATACTCATTTCAAATGCACTACCACCGCAGTAGGGGTAATAAATATAATCCTTAAAGATGGGAATGGTTATGGTCCCTCCTCGATTTTGTGAGTGAAGATTGCAGCCGGCAAAGACCCTCGAGTCATCTTCACAGTGCCACCATTCAGTGACATAAAGTGGTCTGAATAATGTCTTTGCTTTTGAGTAGCACTGCAGTGACTGGTTCATGTGCTGCTTATCGATAAACTCAGCTCGATCTGGCGAGGTGACACATCAGTGACTAAAGGGCCTTATGTCACTTCTGGGACCTGTGAATCTGAGTTCGTTAACAGCTTCCACTTCATTGTATGCTTACCTTTTGTTGTTTCGTCTCGAAGCTATCCCGTGACGTCCTTGTGCTAAATTGCACTCTAAGATTGACCGCATCGCAGCTTCCAAGGTTGTCATTTGGCCAACTACCTTGTCGCTCGGTATTTACACGGCCTTTTGACAAACTGATCGAGGGGAATGACAAGAGAAATCAAGATAACCCCAACTCGACCATGATTCTCACCTCGATCACCTCCCTCCACGCGGCCGCGATGGTCATCATGGCCAATCTCGTAACTGCTCATGAGCGTGGTGGCCCTGACGCATGCCTGTGTCAAGAATACACCGTCACCGCTGTTCCTGAGTTCAACATCACGAACTTCAGTTGGTCCTGGAACGCTGCAAATAATACTGAGTGAGTCTCCTGGTAGCATTTACTCACTCCTCGAAGCTCTTCAGATTTATGCTTGTGCAGGAGCTTACCGTTAGTAGCTCCGGCTCATTCGATATGGCGTTCTGGCCAGGCGCTCCTTCCGCAAGCTGCGCGTTCAGCGTGTCTGCCAGCACAGGCTATCCAGTCTCAGTCGGGTCCAACTCTACCGTCTGTCTCTTCGGTGGACCTCAGGATGTACACAATTCGGACATGAATAGCTTCCTACGCCTAATGGAGTCTTCGACCGTTGGGTTTCAGTTGATTGTTCCTGACGATGCGACCGAAGACTCGACCCTCGTTTTCGTCTTGGAGATTCAAGAACGATGGATCTGCTTCAAAGGTATCTGTACCGAGTGTCTACATTGGAGCCAGCACAACATGGCCATAGATCAATTTGTGTGGAATGGAGATGGCCGAAAGTACATTGGTCCAACCGACTTCTGCCTGACTGGGTATTTCTCGCATGTTTGAGGAGGACTATGAGGCCTTACTACGATTGTTTGTCAAATAGGGATAATTGCTTGATCATGATCGGTTGATCGAAGGTATGGGATACCTTTCTGATATCCGGCTGGCACTAAGAGGTATTTGCTGCCAGAAATCATACATGTTTCCCTCAAAGTATAGTCCCCTTTGCTCATGTGTCGTTCCCCTCCCGTGGTGAATCTCTCACACTAATCTTGTACCCTCAATCATTCCCAGTGATACTTCCAACTATCCTAGTCTACCTTGCCGTGCACGGCTCAGGAAGTTTGTTATCAGGTATGCAGATACCTCCGCAGTCTGCGCCGCCCTTCTTCGGGTCGCATGAATCCCGCGGATCGTCAATACATCTCAGTCCCGACGGGCATGCGATGCCAATGAATCCGCCACAGAAGTGCTCTTCGACGCAGATGGGCCCGCCCGTTTCGTGGCTGGATATACAGGTTGTGCCTTCCCTGCACAGCACCACGGCACATCCAACTTCGCGGAGGACCTTGCCGATGTCAATGTCTATTGGTGAAGTAGCTGCAAGAGAGGAGAGGAAGAGTGTAAGGATGAGGCCGTTGCTCTTCATGATGAGATAATAGGGAGAGATGTCTCTGGATGAGTCGTTTCCTGTCTTCAAATGATGTATGGTACGGTTGTCGGGATAATTATGGATGAGACCGCTGAGATGAGCCTGAAGTTCTTATAGAGGGTTTTCTTAAGGCTACGCGAGACATAGCCGGACATAATCAATTGATCGGTAAGGATGGATGGCCACGGTTTCTGGTCATACGGCACCTTTAAGCTTTCTTAAACGACCATCTTTTCTTGGCCTCGCGTCGATCATTCCAGCTCGTGTCACGTTAACGGAGGACGAAAAGCTGAATTTTCACACGGGGGCACGTATGGACACGGGGTAAGGGCAGAAAGTGCCACCTAAGTCGTTCGCTTGTGCATCATCACGGTTCATCCATGACGAGGCGCCGTAACGTCGAGGTCTTGGCTTCTAAATAAGGGAGCGGCGATATTGTGGCTGCTGGCTAGCAGCTCTCTCCTTGCTTTATTGCTCGCTTGGAATGAAACGTCTTTCGGAAAGTTAGGTTTCAACCCGGTTGTCGCCAATGATTTGTGGAATTTGCCAAGTTTGCGGCTCGATAGATGACCCGCCCAGCCACAGAAGAAAATGTCCTCGACTATTTGATGCAGCTCCTGTCGGTGTAAGGGGCCGTTGAACTTTGAAGAAGTGCATATGCAGGAAGACTGCAGACATGCATTTAAATATGGGGTAAGACACTCCTACTGTGTCCCACGCCTGCTCGCAGCGTCAAACATCATGGTATGATGCACGATGGGCGTGCATGCTTTCGTGCAGAAAATACGTGGCGACGTTTGCCTGACTGAACACAGAGGTAATAGTTCGATACTTGAAAAATCAATCATCTGCCATAATATCATTTGAACACGCCTCCATCTATTTCTTGAGCTAAAACGAAGCGTTTCGCTTACTGGAGAAAAAGCTCAGATGTGATATTACCTTACGACATCAAATCTACGTCATTCTCCTAACACTGAACAAGGAATTATAGTAATGTAGCTATGGGAAATACGTGTTCGATAGCATAGTGTGTTCAAGGTGAGAATAAGTGTAGTCATCGATATTTTCTCCGATATATCAGCACATAACCTAATATTCTCCTCTTCGCGTATCTTAACGACCTAGTGCCTCTTGCTCGAGGAAGACCTACGCCTCAAGGTATTAGAGTGTATTCGATAATATCTCTATGTTGTCGGTAAACCATCTTTTTACGCTGGCTTTGTACATTCACTTCGTTAAGTACACGCTGTAGTGAGTCATCTTTAAGGGTGTAGGAGACACGGTTCTATGACAGGTAAAAAAGTGTTCTTGCTCCATCGTACTTGTTGGTGTGGGCAATCACAATGATTGCGGACGCTGTGTTTTCTGGGTCTACCAGAGTTACGGTGAACTTGGGAATGTATCGGAGCTACCTTGCTTTGACACCTCACCATGCCTACAAAAAGGCGATCCATCATCCTGGGCTATCGCTGCCAACAAATTCATACAACTACCTCGCATTTCTCGGGACCCGCTTTGGGTTAATTGAATCTCCCTCCTGGAGTCTGATCAACCTCATTGCTTGGCTCATCCTGCGACCGGTTGATCTCAAGCCGACTTTGAATTCAGTCCTATACAAGTGGTTTTGACCGCGCATTATCGAAGCTGGCAGTTCCTCAAAGGCTCTTTCAGTCCAAGGAAACAAAGTTCCACGCTTGCACGCCTGCACCAGCAACCAAACCCGATCTCTTGAGACCCTCAGCTTCCTACGATTCGCTTGGTCAAGATGTCTTCAGGTCTTCTCTCGCTTTTTAACGAGCTCCTCGAGGGTGTCATTCGCCAACTTGACAATGAGGATATTCGAAGTTTGGGAGCGACTTGTCGGACCTTCTATCACATCTGCTTGAGAAGCAGACCGAAGACGATTTACATCAGGGGACAAGACTGGATCGTGGCCAAGAGACTGAAGGCATTGACGGAGCCATTCTTTCCTGAAGATACTGCAATGTTGACCCGACGCCCAAAGCTTAGCAGCAAGCGGACCAATCTTACCGAAAAATACCTTGCCGAAATAACGTGAGTAGATATTTCCTCCTATTGATAGGGAAACGATCAGGGATGTGTCTGACAAAGTTCTAGATCAGCCGTGATCATAGTTGATGAAGGCAGGCCTGAGAGCCTCTATTGGGATGTGGCAATGAACATTCCCCGACCTTATACCATGTCCCATGAAGAAAAGTCTTCGTGTGGTGAGAGGATTTTGAAGGCCTTTTCTCTTCTGCGCTCACGTGCCTGCCCCAAGTTTCAAGCTCTGAGCCTTGATTTCCGGGGTCTTGATCAATGTCAAATCGATCATCTAGACACCTATGCTGTGAGCTGGCTAGACCTTGCAGATGGGCGACGTTTAACACGCTTCAACATCTCGTCATTGAGATATCGTGGCCCAGATTCTTGCCAGTTCTACCACATCTTACTCAAGGCTTGTCACAAGACACTGAAGATTGCAGATATAAGTGACAACAAAAGGGGTTCAGCTGACCATCGCGTCGTCGAGATCACCGGGCCTCAGCTCGAAAAGTTGCACTTCCGTTATGAGGCTGGCTATGGAAGTAATACGATGCGTATGTGGCCCGATCTTCTAGACAACATTGACGTGAAGTTTCCAAAGCTTGTCAGCCTATCTCTGGATGGCAATACCAACAACATCCTCGGGCGACAACGCAACGATCTTGCGGTAAGCTAATGTAGACCCAATCGCGTCTACTCGTACACGTTTCATCCTCAGAAGCGTTTCACCTTGATGTGACTAATCGTTTATTTTATATTTTATAGTTTGAAACGGTCGCCTATCAAGCTGAACGACTAAAGAAGCTCCGATACTTAAAACAACTGAGTGTCACATTTGATTACGGATGTTCAACTACGTTTATCATCACTCCTAAACATAACCATATTGACGACGATTTCTTCGAAGGACTTGCCAAGATGTATATGAATGCATTGCCTGGTCTCGAAAACGTGGTCATTCGATCTGAGTGGCCAACGATACATGAAGCGTACTGGTCCAAGGGGGAGCCACGTGTGCTTTGTTGCGAGACAAAGACTTTTGAGAAGCAAGTTGGAAAACTGGCTATTGGAAATTGATCATACTGGAGACCGTATCGGAGGATATGTATTTGGCTTGGAGGATGCTGGCAGGAATGCTTCCGCACTACAATCATGCATGAAGTGGGCCACGGTTACGGCAGTGTCAAGCATTTAAGCCCTGTTTCTTTCCATCACCAAAAAAGAAAGAAAAAATACCCAAAAAAAAAAAAAAAAAAAGCCGAGGTAATGGCAGCCGTAGAGAGGGACCAAAACAGAAACGGAAAAAGGAGTTAGGAGTTATGGGGATCAAGAAATGTCGCAGATCGGAACAGGGAGGAACTACAAGACTAGAGCAAAAATCGAGGGGATCCGCGGTATCAAGGACCGGAAGTATCGAAGCCTGGGTTATCATGGGTAGTTGCGACGTGCGTTTAGGCAGCAGCTCGCGGTGTGCTGGTTTCGGGATAGCATTAGATAGACTAAATTGATCAGGACTTAGTCACCTAACAGGTCTACGCGGCGTGGACGGCATGTTGGAGATGTTTCTGCCAGCCGGTTGGTGGAGTCGTTATCCGGAGTTTTTGATACCCACACTCGGGCCCGACACCGACCTGAAAGTGGGTCGTTTCGCCGAATTTCTCCAAGGACATTTACAGGATCTCCCTGCACAGTCGGAGGCGCAGTCAGTTGTCATGCTACATTATCTGACATTTGTTCTCGCGCTTGCGGAATGCGGCCCGGGCAGGGCTCGGACTTGCTAGCCATCGGAGTTCGGGGAGCAAAGTGGCAGCATGGCTCCAAGGTCCGAATCTTTCGATAAAGTTGACGACTCCCCGCAAGTCAGTTGGATGTTTCACTTCCAGACTATACAGACCTTTCAGACACGTTAGAAATACTACAGCAATCATATTACAACCTAGACTAAGACCAGATATCATCACTTATAATATGGAGTTCAAACCAACCTACGCCATTGTCAACAACGAAAACTGCGATCTTCACTACTGGTATCAAGGCTCCGGGCCGCTCATCACCTTCGTGCCCGGCGGCAATGGACACGGGAGACAGTACAACGCCATAATGGCGGCGTTGTCAGATAAGTACACCTGTGTGACCTTTGACCGGCGTCAGATGTCAGCCAGTCAGGTTAAGGTGAACAAGATCCTCAAGCTGCCGCAGCAGGCGCGCGACGTCGTGGCCGTGATCAAGGCGATGGGGTTCTCCAAGTCGATCGTTTTCGGCAGCAGCCTGGGCGTCATCATCGGCTTCCAGCTGGCGCTGGACTTCCCAGAGATCATCGACCACGTAATCTGCCACGAGGCGCCAACCGTGTCACTCCTGCCCAACTCGAGTGCGATAATGGACTGGCTCATGGGCATCAAGGACTTGTGGAACGAGACTCGCGATTTGAAGGCGTGTCAAGCGGAGTTCGAGTCCGGGTTCAAGGGCTTTGGCGAGCCCGGGGTCCCGCAGACAAATCCCCCCGAACCGGAAAATCCGATCAATTTCTGGGATAACGAGTTCTACGGTGCTTCATTCTACGTCCCGGACATGCGGCGCATCATCGCGAACAAGGTCAGCATCGGGCTGATGACTGGCGCGAGGAGCCGAGACGCATTCTATGCGCTGACGACGTATGAGCAAGAGAAGATCCTGGGCTGCTTGAGAATGACTGTGCCTGGACATCATCAGGGATATGAGGCCGAGCTGGAGGCTTTTCTGCCGGCGATAGTTGAGATGTTGGCTGAGTTAGAGAAACGGAGGGGAGCAAACACGTAACTGGGTTTTGTAGCTCGAGAATGTCAAGAGCACAGCCATTGCTAGCGCAAACAATCTAAGCTCTTCACTTTCAACATCCCCCACTCCGACTGACAGTGGGGATACTACTACTTCGCCTGCATGCTTCATACCTATAAGTGTCTGTTTACGTAAGTGACGTACTGCGCAGACATGCACGCAGTGTTATGACGCAGGAAAGAGCCTCTAATGGCGAACCTAGATGTGACGGTGAAGGGTTTCTGAACACTCTGCACCAGTCATTGAAGAACGCGCACCTGTAAGTAAGAACAGCCCACTAGCTATGCGATGCCGGCTGCAGGGAGCTTCCCTGTCTGCTTATCAGCGCCGCAGCTTATCGGAGCTCTCCCCTGTGCCCCGCCATTGCTAGTGCAGTGCCGGTCAGGTCCGACCTCAACCCCTCCAACGTCGTCCGTCTCTTTATTCTCCTTAAGAAGCCAATTCCCATACCCTTCTTCTTGTTCTTCTTCTCCTCTCTTTGTTTCACTTTCACTTCCATACAAGTCACACACATCTGTAGTCTTGCCTAGATCCCCGTAGACCGTGCTGTTACAGGCTCTGGAACCGTTCCTCACCCCCACAGAGTGAAGAACAAGATAGAGAGCTGCTTGATAACCCCGCTTCGATTCGTGTCCCATCACCAATGTCTCTCCCGTCCAATGTCCACGTCTCCAAGCATCCGTGCTTGTTGGCGAAGCTGAGCCAATTACGCTCCAAGAGCACCAGTGCCAAAGAAACCAAGTCATTGATTCATGAGATCGCTTTCATTGTTGGCTGCGAGGCGTTAGCTTCCGCCGTAGAGGTCTCTCCGGGGCCAAAGGTGCGTGTATTCCCATTCGTTCACCCCATTCCATTCACCCCGTCGTCGTTCATCCTGTCGGCGTTGGCCACCGATAATCTAACGTTACTATTAGGATGAAACGCCTCTCGGCTTCGAGTACACAACCAGCGTCATCTCTCCGCAGACCATCTCCCTCGTGCCAATCCTGCGATCCGGTCTGGGCATGGTAGAAGGTCCGTCTATCCCGAGCCCCCTCCCCCTTCACCGCAGACAGACATCCGCCTCGAGTCTAGCGCTTCAAACTGACCACCAGCATCAACCAGCCATCCAAACCCTCCTCCCCGACCCCGTCCCAGTGCACCACCTCGGCCTGTACCGCGAGCCCTCCACCCTCGAGCCCGTCGAGTACTACAACAACCTGCCCAACCACGTCTCCTCCTCCGGCGGCGAGGGCAGCCCCTCCAGCCTGGCCGTCATCCTCGACCCCGTCATCGCCACCGGCGGCACCTGCGCCGCCGCCATCCAGACCCTGCGCGAGTGGGGCGCCCAGCGCGTCCTCGTGCTCGCCATCACCGCCGCCCTCCCCGGCGTCACGCGCGCCGCCGAGGAGTGGCCCGAGGGCGTCGAGATCTGGGTCGCTGGCGTGGATGGCGAGCTGACGGATCGCGGGATGCTCAAGCCGGGCTTGGGCGATGTCGGTGATCGGCTGTTTTTGACTATTGGGAAGTAGGTGGGGTTCATGTCTTGGGTATGTGGGTTTGTCGTGAGATTGAGTTAGTTGGGCTCACGACTCTGCTCAGATTGAATAGGGGAAGTTCTTTGGTCATTTGCTCGTGTCGTATCTAGATACCTCCAGTTTGTTCATCGGTTGGGATACTACAAATGTACGTAATTTGCCTCAGTAGCAACAGCAACAATGAATCGGCCCCAAACGCCCTTCATGCATCTCCAAAGCTCCAAAGCTCCAAAGCTCCATACCTCGCGGCCAGGCGACAAGGTTTTGTCCAGCATGTGACATGATAATCTACAGCGGAGCATACTGCTCCTCATCCACAAGGGTGCTCGCCTCCCAGCAATCCATCACCCACTTGTCCGTGACGACGCGAGGCACCGACTTCCTCGAGCTGATCTGATACCGCACGTCAGCAGCAAGTTCCCGCTTGGCAGTCTCGTCACGAGCAACAACGACAACATGCGTGATGGACTCGTCGTCCAGCGTCTCCGCGACAGTGGCACTGCCGAACTGGACATAATTCCGGAGCATCATCACCGTGACGTCCCAGACGTCCTCGCTGACGGCGAAGAAGATCCGGCATCTGCGGAAGGTCCAGCCTTTCAAGTTCGGCAACTCGTGGCCGTGTTCCTCAAGCTCCGTGAGGAAAGTCTCCTTGTCGAAATTGCCTTCGCCCAAATCCAGCTTTGGCATGTTCGCGAGAATCTCTCGGAGCTCCTCTACTTCAGCATCTCGTGCATAACTGTCGCCATACTGGTCGGTGTTGTTCTCCGCAATCTTTGCCATCGCATCTGTGGCCCAGAATAGATGACCTTTCTCGAAAGGCAACGGGTAGCCTTGGTTGATGCTGTCGATGATCCATTTAGGCTTGATGACGTCTCTCTCCCCTCTCTTGATGATAGCGGCCGCCTTGACGACCTTCTTATCGGCAACGACGATCAGTGAGTCCACGTTCTGCTTCTCTTCCAGGACAGCCTGTCCGCCATTTTCCTTGACCAGAGCCACAAGCTCATCTCTCGTCTTGCGGATGGGCTTGAGAGCCTCACTCAGCACCAAGAACGTCATGCCCTCAAACACCTGTGTCCTGGGCTGGCCGTTGCCATCAGCACCTCCAGAGCGGGTCTGCCCAGCGATGACAGTCTCCCGCTTGACTCTCTTGGTCGAACGCCGACTGCGCCTATCTTCAATCTCCATGTTCTTCTTCTCCTGCGCCTCTTGATCCACGCGGCTTTTAAGCGCGTGCAGCTGATCAATATCCAAGGCCGAGTCCCAGGAGCGATCGAGTCGCAGTCGTCGGAAGCGAGGAAAGCGCAGCGTCTCGCCAATAGCGAACGAATCAGACTGTCCAATGCTGGCGGCTTTCACGGAGATGACGATGCTGTCCTTCGGCCTGATCCAGACGTCTGGCCGCTCATACTGCAGCTTCTCGCCGCCGCCAAGCTCGACGTACTCGGAGGGAGGATTGTTCGCATCCCAGTCGATCCACTTTCCTTCGGTGCGGTGCCGAATCTCAGCATAGTCCTCCGCCTTGAACCCACCGCCGACCTTAAAGAAGCTCCAGCACTTCTCAGGGTTCACGCCAGCTTTGATGTAGTTCTCACTAGCTCTCAGCCCACAAAGAAAACTAGACAGATTGCCACCACGACGGCCAGAGCCGAAATAACCGCCGATAACAACACAGTCAAGCGATTCGCCAAACTCGGACATGTACTCTGGCTTGACCTTGATCCAGTCATTGTTGCGACTGTTGAGCCGGTACATGGACTTGGGGTTCTTCAATACGAGGCCCTCTGACGCTTCCGCGACAATCTTGCGAAGCTGGGGTTCGATCGCGTCCGGGGAAGTTGCCGCGATATGAGGGTGGATCTCTAGCCGACCAGGAACACCTGGGACGGCCGTCTCAAGAGCACGATGTCGATCTCGCAGTGTGTATTTGGTGAGGGGCTTGTCGTTGAGGTACAGGATGTCGAAGACGCGGTACACAGGACGTTCGCTTGAGTCATCGAAGGGGTTCTTCTGCCCTGACAGGGCCGCAGTCTTGAGTGTACCAAACGGGACGATTTTGTCGGTCTTCGGGTCCCAGGTGATCATCTCTCCGTCGAGAATACAGTTCTTAGTCCGGTCAGAAAACGCCTCCTTAAGGTGTCGTGTGAGCGCCGAGTTGTCATCCTCAAAGCCATTGCCGTAGAGATATGTGTAATCCTTCGCCTTTCGTGACCAGAAGCAGAATTTGACGCCTCCAGGCGTCTCCTCATCCTCCATCATGTGCATCTGCATTCGCTCGCCGTCAAGCTTCTCCTCGATCCAGAATTCGGGGTTCTCCTCCGTCGCACCCAGGTGAGTGACCATCTTCTGGAAGCTCTCGGGCATCTGGAACTGCGCCAGCTGTGGCTGAAAGCACTGCATAAGGTTGATCCCAGACTCGTCTTCCTCCAGACGAAATTCCGGGTCGTGCAGTTCCCAGCAAACACGGCGCAAGCTGCTGCTGACGCTGAACAGCGCCTCACCATCATGATGCCAAAGGTCAAGGAAGGTACGCTCAGTGGCACCGACCTTCATCTGCTTGAGCACAATGCGGATGAGCCACATAAGCTCCTCGGCATTCATGCGCTTGTAGAAGATATCGAAGATGGGCAGTTGCTCGGCCTCGCCACTCGCGCCCGCAAGCTTGTCCAGCAGCTCGTTGACCTCGGCGATGCGCATGTTACCGGGCTCCGTACGCATCTGACGCTTGCTCAGCACCTCGAAGCAGCGGCCGGCAAAGTCGCCCGCCATGCGGCTCGCTGTGGTCTGTCCCGGCAGCTTCCAGTGGAGGAGATTGTAGCCGTCCTCGGAGTTCTTGTCGATCTTCATGAGCTTGACGAGAAGCTTACCAATAGTATTCTCCTTCAGGCCATAGACGCCACGGTCGCGGTCCTTGTCAGGCAAGATTAGTCGTAGGGCTGGGTAGAAGTCGCTGCCAACCTCGGCACGCCATCGTGAGATGAAGCGCTGGATGATGGCGCGGCGTTGCTCGTGTGGGCTGAGCTTGGATGGTCCATGAGGGCCGACTTTCTTGCGTGCGACCCGCGGGCCAGAGGGCTGTGCCTTATTCTCGTTGAGGGGGTTGAAGAGCGAGCGATAGAGCTCGGAGAAGAGTAGTGTCTTAGAGTGGTTGCGGGGACGGTTCGGGTATTTTTCCTCCAGCTCCTCCAGTGTCAAGGGTCCTGCGCCATATTGTCGCTCATCCTCATCCTTCGCGGAATCGGTAGGCGATGCTGGTCGCTTGTTCTGACTCATGATGCAGTTGTTGGCTCTCAGTGAAGCTGAAGGGTGTGCGTTGACGATCGTTGATGAGAGCCACAATGAAGAAAGTGTATTGTCAAATTGGCTCTAGTCGAAGGAGCTTTCCTAGAGATGGTAAAGTCTACGGCATTGCATTGTCGAGAGTCCTTCTTAAGCAGTCGCGAAAGAGTTCAGATGAAGAGTTCATTTCACGGCATTGACCCCAGGCATCAACCGTAGCTGGACGTTGTTTGCCAGATTGAATGAATGGTCGGGATCGCGTGGTGGGGTAAGGGTGCTGCCTGGCTACGGGCGCCCTAAATTCACGAAGTCAGGTGCGACCGTGCCTACCTCCCTCTCGAAGCAAATTCAACATCAACACTTACATCTACTGATTCTGCTCTACATCGTCCACGGTATCAATGACTAATCAATCCTTGACTTCCATTATGTTTCACGTTTGCCAGGTAGGTCAGTGGGTCACTATTCCAAAGCAATTAGACAATTCACACAATCTGGCACATTCTCATTAATCCCTTACATCAACCTATGGAAAGTCCATAGCGAGACAATTCAATAACTAGAGTATCAATTCATTGCATTCAGAGCATTATTAGAGTCGGATGACCGAATACTACAACAAAGACAAAAGGAAATGATAATAAGCCAGCCGTGTTTCTTTTTCATCCCTCCTGACGTCTATGCCTGGAATGAAATTTCCATCCTTGGGTATAATTCCTCTTTTACAAAACCGTACACTGTTTTCCATATTCCTCCTTAGTATGCAGTCGCAGCAGGATTGGTGGTGTTTGGGTTGAGGTTGCTGCCTCCATTTGTGTAGCCGCCGTTGGTAGCAGCCTTCTTAGCGCCGTTCACAGCGTGGGACTTGCGTTCCACCTTGGGTGCTGCTGGAATATCATTGCTCTCTATTCGTCATTGTTAGTTAACCTGGTGATGGTGATGTATTATGAGGGGCAAAATGGGACTTACTGGAAGCGGCACCAATAGAGAACACCGGGCTCTCCCACTTGTCTCCCTTGCGGGCCAGCTCCTTGTACTCGGTAGCCTTGGAGCTGATGCCACCAGGAAGGTGGATGTTAGGGAAGATGCTGTCCTCCTTGGTGATGGCGACATTGGCCTTCTTGTCGGCAGCGACAGCCTCAGCCTTCTTCTTACCCTGCAGAATCTGCTTCTGGGCAGCAGAGACATAGCGGCTGTAGATGTTGGGAACATTCTCGGGATCTGACTTGGCCTCGTCGAGAGCACGGTCAGCCTCCTGCTTGACCTGCCAGAGCAGGGCGTCAAGCTTGTTGAAGTTGTCCTTGATCGCCTTCTCAGCGGCCTTCTGAATGGCGGGCCGCATGGCCTTTAGGGCAATACCCTTGAAGAGAGAGAAGAGTAGCTTGTGGTTGGACTTCTTCACCTTGATCTTGAGGTGCTTGATGTCAACATCCAATTTATCAACCTTGAAGAAGTTCTGCTTGTCCTTAGCATCAGCAGTCGACAACTTAAGCTTGAAGCTGAAGCCATCGCCGGGCAGGAGAATGTCCACGACTCCAGTGTCGGTAATGGTTGGGAAGCCCTGCTTGCGCTTGATGTGGTAAGAAACATCGCGCAAGTCCATCTGGATGCCGGCGACCTTAACTTCAAAGGCATGCTTGCTCTTGTTGGCGATCTTCTTGCGGCCCCAGCGCAGGTAGTTCTCGCTTGAGATCTCGAGGACATTTGGAGCAAAGTTGTCACTCTCGAGGACGAGGTTCTCAATAACAGCGTCAACCTCAGGATCTGTGTACTCAATGCGAGGAACAGGGACGTAAGAAACATTCTCAAGAATAGCAGGGATAATGACGTCAGTCAGATCCTTGATCAAGTGTGGCTTGAATGTAGCCTTGCCATTCTCATCGTTGCCAAGGTCATTGAACAGCTTCGTCACGGACTGAGCAAAGCGCTTGTTCTGGGCGTCTTGGTCGAACTGGTCGGCCAGGAACTTGATCTCGTCGACAATGCGGTCGGTGTGCGATCGATACTTCTCGCGAAGGAGGTAGTTGCCGTGGTCATAGAGACGATCCCACTCCCTGGTAGACTCGTCCTCAAGGATATAACCCTGCTGCTGGAGAGAGCGGCGGACATAACGGTCTAGAGCCTTGAACCAATCCTTCAGTTCCGGGTCGTTATCAGCATCCTTGTAGATCTGGTTGATGGAGTCCCACAAGTCGTCGCTGGAGGTTCCGTTGGCGAATCGCTCAATCAAGGTCTTCAGGTCATCCTCGGCCTGCTGGAGGTGTGTGCGAGTTTGTTGCACAGTGCCAGTGCCACCACGCGTAACGTGCTTAGCGTGGCTTCCATATTCCTCAGCAAGGTCGAGCAGAGTGGAGATAGCCTGCTGATAGTCGGGGTGTTGCTGGCATTCGATCACCATCTTCTTGAGGCGCCAAATAGTCTGTTCGCGGCGCTCCTCGGGCATCTTCTTCTTGAGGTACTCCTTAGTGCGACGGCGATATTCCTCCGCGCTCTGCTTGGCAGATTCCTTGGTGTCATCGTCAACGTTGGCGTCTACACGCTGCTGGAGGGTATTCTTCGCAGCGGAGAGACCAGAGCGAGCGTCAACGCCAGATTGGGTGCCCTGGGCACGATCCTGAGCCGCTGTGGCAGCAAGATCATGGGGGTCGTTAGAGCCGCTGGGGTGAGCAGCCTGAGTAGCGTTGCCAGCGGCATCGCGGAGATCGTCCTTCGGGTTGTTGCCCTTGTACACTCCCTGGGCTTGCTTCTTCAAGTTCTCCTTGGAGAAATCAGGGGTGTCATGCCATGTGTTGTCAGGAGCCGGGTGGTCGATCTTAGATAGATCCTCGTCAGCAGGACGGACCTTACCGGCAGCGTTAGTAGCAGCATCAGCAGCCACATCACGAAGTAGAGTGACGCTATCTTGGAGAAGTTTGCGGAACTGGCCGTTGGTGATGATCAAAGTACCCAGGGTTCTCAAACCCTCCAGAGCCTGGTTGCCGTGCTGTTTCGCAGTTTCCTTATCGACTGGGGCATTGGGCGTGTTGATAGCGCTAGGCTCAAATTGCTGGGTCTGCCAGATGAAGTCCTGTAGAAGATTGCCCTCATTCTTGGAGAGCAACAGATGCTTCGCCTGCTTCACGACGTCTTGGACATCAGCTACTAGGTCTCGGCCTTCTGAGGAGAGCTTCTGAGAAGGTGAGGCGAGAGCCCTGGACGCCAAAAAGCTGTTCAGAGCAACATCGATCTGATCATTCTGTAGTCACGCGTGTCAGTAATCGCTCGAGAGAAAACGACGAGCTGAACAACCATACCGAAGGGACCTTGCCGTTCTGGAATGCGCTGATGATGCCGTAAAACTGGAGCTTCCTGTTGACATCCTCCTCCTTCTTCTTGAGATCGACTGGCTTATTGACGTTGGCCATATTGATGAACAAATGTCTATCGTCGAAAGGGTTTGTTCTGAGGCGCACAATTCGTTAGTAGGAATGAAATGGCAGGAGGGCGTTCGCAGTGGAGACAGTGTTTGCAGTTCCGTTCTCCGTCTGCTACACCGTGCGACCTGGCTACGCTGATGATGGGGTGGCTTACCAGGAGGTTTGAGGGTTATTGCGAGCAGGAGTTTGGTTTGGGGGTATCAAAAACAGAGGAAAACACGAATATTGCAAGGGGTATAATTTCTCGTAAGAGATGGTTGATGAGGGGAGGAGGAGGAGGAAGAAGAGAGTTTCACGAAGGGAGGTTTGTTTATACCCTGGGCAGGTCGAGCTTAAAGGTACCTTGCGGTGGTCGAGGCTTGAGCTGTGACGTGAGGCTTGGGGTAGGAGCTTGATATGGAGTACGTCATAGGCAGTGGTGTGGAGGAAGGAACAGACAGGTGCAGGATGGGCAAGGGAAGGGAGTGGCCGCGCCAATACCTGTTGCTGTTCTCACTACCTACCCAGGTAGGTACGCTAGTCTAGCGCGGGAGTGGACGGAAGTGAGTATGTATTTCCAGACTGGAGTGGGTTGACTGGAGAACGGGCAAGAAACGAGATGAGACGAGAATTGGGCAAGGTTCGCCTTCTGGGTGTGGCGTGCCTTTGTGGGTGGGTTAGGTTCACCCAGGAGGAGCCAGAGACAGACATGTGGGCTTCCCTTGCCATTGACCAAGTTTAGGCACGGTACTTTAGGTTCGATTGTGAGACTTGAAGATCGGCAGGCCGCTAAGGCGTGATTATATCAAATTGTAAGAGCAGAACAGCATTTCATTTCGGTACCTGGTGTATCTGAGCAAAATGTTGGTACCTAGGTAGCCAGGGGAAACAGAACAGACAGTGTGCATGCTGGAGCAACTCCTCCAGTCGCTGGAGCGTGAAGAGAGCACCCCCAGCAGGCCAGCATCCCGTTGAGCAGGCAAAACGTGTGAGCCCTCAGCTTCAGGTGAGATGTCGTCCAAGAATGTCAATTATGACGATTACATGATCGGCCGGCCCACTGGGGTGTGGCCAGATAATTGTGGGAAAGGGAGCTTGGGTCGAGGTACGTACCTTCTCACCCCGGCAGAGCTGATGGTCCCACTCACTACTGTACGGGCAACACCTCAGCCAGGATGAGCAGAATGGGCGGGCGCAGAATGGGCGGGCGCAGAATGGGCGGGCGCAGAATGGGCGTTAGGTACGCCGCAGCGCATTGTGTCAAAACTATCGAATCGTCGATGCAGTTCATTTCCATGCACACGATGCGATGCGATGCATTGCACCGCGCACGATCCCTTCCCGGATTTCCTTGCACGGCTGAGGAGGCCCAGTCTGTCAAGTCTGGGGAACCATTCGAGCATGCGAAGCAGACCATCTATCAGCAAATGCGGCAAGCCGTAATGAACTGTCTGCCTCCTTACATCCCCTACGAGATCAGTATTTGGTGCAGGGAGGGAAATGTGAATCTATAATCTGCCGCCTTGGCACAGGCCGTCTGGGGTTTCCTTGGTTGTCTGGGTGTCCGGCCGCCTGGCATGTCGCATGCCATTCATAGCCGGTTGTCTGGACGTGCACAATACCGGCGTTCAAGTTGCCCCTGTGCAATGCGAAGCTGCACCGAACCGCCGGCACGCGACCTCCATTCGTGCCATTGAGCTTGGAAATTGTCCCACAGTGAAGCAATTCGGATTGAATTGCCGAGGAGCTTGCAGAACCTGCCCAGACACGACGCGCAATAGTGCTGAAATTGGGTGCTGCTGGTGCTCATCGCAGAGAAAAAAGGTGCAAGCGGCAAAGAGATCTGTGAAACTTTGCATCGTTGGCGATCCATGACGTCAAAATTTTGGCAAGCTTTGCGGAAGCTTCAAGCGTTGCGCAGCCAGAGAGGGCGTGTCCCCAGCAACATCAATTTCATTTCTGTGCCAAGGGAGCCGCCAATGGCCGTGGATCATGCTGGCGCCTTCGGCCAGCCACCTCATCACTTTTGGCATACTCTTCTTTCTGTCCAGTCTGTCCAGCAGGGAAGCTCTGCATTACTCTGCATTACTCTGCATTGCGTTGCCATGGGCCTGGTCTGGCCATCGCTCAAACGCGGTCAATCGTGGCAATCAGGAACTGTCCAATTTGGGCGAGAAACTAAGATGCGGTTAAAGCAACACATTCGCCTCGTCCAGTGAACTGGTGCCGTCCTCCATGCAATTACTGTAATTGGCATGGGCATGTCGGAGCAATACCTCCTGGTCGTGACTTCCTGTTTCCAACCATATCATACCATGCCATGTAAAGATTACTGCATAGTATATTCCCCCCTGCCTACCGTCCATGTTTCGCGTGTCCCGCCACATGGGAACCGACAGCAAGAGCCACTCAAGGCAAGCCCCGGGGGTGTATCCGTATGGTTCCTTGCGGCATGGACCAGGAGGGTGATGCAAGTGAGGGGGGGGGTGTGGAAATCGCGGGGTCGGGCACGAGTGGTGATCTGCGCAGGGGCCACAATCCCGATCCTGCTTCTTGGCAGTCCTTCTGCTTGCTCACCCTGTCAGTGGAGATGTTCAAGCTGTCAAGATGTCAGGAATAGATAAAGATCCCACATCTTTACCGATCCAGTTCGTTGGTATACGACAGCTGGGTTTTTTGCGACACTCATGATCATGATAAGAGGATCCACGACCCATATTGCTTACGTCTGCACGCGCGCTTGTCATGATCAAACTAATTGTTAGCACAAGGCGGAGGTGGAGCCCAGAGCCCGAGCATGTGAATGGCATCGGGGCAATGACGTTGTTTTCTGGGACGGCCTTGTGGTTGAAGATGAGATCTCTCTTCACCTTGCTGAAGCTATACCGATTGACCGACACGTTTGCGCGTTCGAGCTGACTCCGATCTTTGACATTTGAGGTAGATGCATGCGATGTTCTAGACCCAAGGCCCAGTTTGACATCATTTCAATGTGCTAGGCTCTGCTAGCTATGCCTTAGCGCGAACGCGAAATCAAGTCGGATATCCTGCTCTGCAACGCGCTTGACGCCATATCGGCTGCCAAGCTCACACTTGACATCAGGTAAGTTCTCCGATTAGGCGTGAACAACTTTTGAGAGGCATCGCCAATGAGTAATTGCCCTTGTTGCGCAGGCTTCACAGCTGATTGGGCCAGACCTGGTGCTGAACTGATATTTCTAGTGCTCTCATATTGCAATGTGGAATCCCTAGTACTCAAGTACATACATTGGTAATCATGCTAGAATCTTGACGATTTATGACACTGTTTATACTTACCTGTCTACAAAGTCTTTGGCACGGAAGATCGCGAGTGCTGCATGGAGATAAGGCTTAACCTCTGGACCACGCCACGCTGCCATCTACCGCTTAGATACCTTTAGCATCCTGGGTCACGTCACTAGATGCAGTCTTACCTTGAATATAAAATCGTGAGACAAATAATATAGTGAAAAGTCACCAAAAAATAGTACTTCTACATTTCATCTGAAATATAACACCTGGTCTTCAAATTGTTTTGAGAAAGTCAAGATGCACACAAGATTTTCCCTAGAAAATACAATATCGAACCAAAGAGACATCATCATGCCGCTTCCTGAACGCTGTCCCAGCTAGAAAAATCCCTGATATGAACCGGTGACTGGCCTCGCAACGGCATTCGAGGGGTTACAGGCGACCGGAGATACCCGACTGACGACGGTGAGTTCGTCTGAGCGCTGATCAACATCTGTCTACGCCGATAGCGATCACGACGTGTCATAATTTCTTGTCGGAGGTCAGACGTCGCTGAATCATCTTGAACATTGGTGATGAGCGGCTCTGGTGACTTCCCTAGAACGAGCATCATATCGCCATCATTACCACCGCGACTCGGAGTGGAAGGAGTTCCAAACAGGGCTGGGCGGCATTCATTAGAATCCAGTTGACTATACCGTCGTCGATTTGCCGGTTCGGACCCAGCGTCGTCCGTTTGGGTAGCCAAAATCTCATCCACGTCGATGTGAATCATTTCATCCCCTTTCGACTCCTCAGTCTTGATTCTTGCGATTTTGTCGACGTCGATGTGAAGCCCGGCATCTTTCGATTGTCGATGCAGTGGAAACTCTCTTGTCTCCGCCGGTATGGACTTGGTCCAGGTATAATAACGACTTTCGCGGCGTCTCCTGTTTTTGATCTTCCTTGTCTCCTTGATCACGAGCCAGTGCCCGTCTTTTCTCTTCTCGACCAGTCCAGTGAACGAGTAATTCCCCGGAGCCCGATGCCCCAGGCTAATTAGATCATACCAATCGTAGAATTCCTCGTACTGCCGCTCAGAATATATGGGATCACACACGAGCTTCAGGTCAATATCTTTTGTGGCTACGAGATCCAGCTTTTTCGAACCGCCCTAGGTGGTGAATGTGAGTTGCTGAGGGGAGGAGCCTAGAGTGGTTCGATGAATGCCAACCTTGCTGGTCCAAAGACAATACGTTCCCTCAGCTTCCTTGTCCATTTCTCGCGGGCTGACCTCAAGGCCAATTGCGGCTCCAGCTTGGAGAAACTTTCCAAGGTCAGGCTTCCTAGTTATGCTCAGCGCAGCACCGTGGGCAATGTTATGTGATCTGAGCAAACAACTATCAGTCACCACCGATGGATGAAGGGTCAGAAGTTGGACTTGCCGCCATATTGAGCCCAGGTCTTCCACAAAGATAGGAGTACAACCAAACCTTTGGCATAGTAAAGTCAAATCCTTCCGGCCTTTAGTTTCAGGAGGAATGCTTCCGCCTGAAAGTATTATACCAACACGGGACTTGGCAAGCCACGACTTCTGTGTTATGTACTCAATACGCTCTTTTGCAAGGTCCATGGGTCCTTTGAACGCAATGTTGTAGCAGTCGAATATGGTCTTCCATGGCAGCGTCAAGGGAATAATGGTTTGTGCGTCCTTCTCCTCGTAAAAGCACTTAGGTGGCAACCTATCCTCGGACTGACTACACATAGTTTCGTTGAACTCCCGGGTGTTTAGCTCTGTGAGGAAGTGCTTGAGGTAGCAGTTAGCCCGAACGTTATCCGTATCTATGATATTAAATTCTTTCATGAGATACTCCGCAATGGCTTCGCCAAGCTTGTGTTTCCAAAGCTCTGTACCACCCGCCGCAACTTTGATACGTTAATAAAGACATTGGATTTATGAACCTGGAGATCACTGACAATAGTATTTGGTCACTAGTTCATCTTTGTCAGCAGGTTCTCCTAGAAAGAGTAGTTGTGGAAAATTGAAGCATAAGCTTCCGCACTTGGATCCAGAGCGAGACTACAAACGACCAAACACGGAAAGAAACTTACTCTCCAGTTGCATGACTACCTCTCCGTCCGATCTTGGTAATTTGTAGAGACAACAGTCCTAATAGCTTCAAATCAGTCGATTGCCCAACCCAAGTTTGGACACTTGGGGGATATTACCGTGCTATGGCCTCCAAAATCTATTACCAAAAGTATGTCCAGGTATTCAACATTCGTCACATCACTAAAGGGCTGTGGTTGCCGTACAAGCTTGTAGCCATGATGGTGCAGTATAAAGTGCAGAAGAGCCTCGGACTCGTTGGCCCAATGGATTTGGTCTACTGATACATGGTGGAAAACCCTAGAGATGATTTCCGCATATAAGTCGAGCATCTCCTGAACCCACTGGCCGGGCACAGAGAGGGCGATCTCTTGATATTCGAGTTGCAACCCCATGCAGAGTAGCTCTGTATGATCTTTGATCCTTCTGAAGCAAGTCTCGATAATGCTGATGGCTATTGTCGTGAACAGAGGGTCATTCTTTCGCTCTCGTAGCTTTTGTGAGAGGGGATAATTTTCATCAGGTATATTCCCCAGATGGTACATCAGGTATTTGATGCTCTGACTGTCTGGCATATTGATGGCCTTATCGCCGACATAATCCAGCCGATCAGGTCTGAAAGGGCAGCACGAGGCAGGGAAGTCCCCAATCACGAGACCCGGTCCGCAGTTTCGATATTGCACTGGGTGGAATTTGTTGGGTTCTCCAATGGGTATGAGGACAACCCTTATTCCAGTGCTGCCAAAGTCAATTCCTACAACACTGCGGGTTATTAACGTGTCTATTCGACAAGTAGCCGACACAGGGCTCTCACCACTTTTCCCAGGATGTCTTAGGGCATGTTGAATACGAAAGATGCATGATGACACCTATGCCCGTAACCAAACCTCGAAGAATATGGCCTTGGTGATCTAACTTACGATACCGGACAGTGGCCGACAAACGACTGGCAGACTTTAAGAGTGTGGTTGTAACAAAGATGGAGGAAATTAGAAGGTACTGAGATGAAAAGAAAGGGCTCTTACTACATTGCTTGGCTAGGTAATTGAGACCACGTCCCCTCAATCATATGCTTCCAAGCTACACCAGTATCATTTTTGCTGCTCGCAGAAAGATGTGACATTCATCGATGGCTATATCCAATGGCTTTCCATCGTGATCGAGACCCCGCAACATGGCTGCAGCTTGACAATCATTAAAGCAAGTGTTTTATGATGATATTGCAGAGTGTGTGTGCAACCGGGAAATCGCGTCTACACCGTCTAGAAAGGCCGGAGTCTCATGCAAGAAGGCCCAAATGAGGTATCAGCTATTGTGGGATGGCTTTCAGCAAGCAATATAAGAGGCTACTCCGGCATGCAGGTAAGCCAGGGGTCTGCAGCCGCAGAAAAGCAAACAAGCTGACAAGCCAATGAAGATAGTCCGATAGTCCATCACACATAGATACGGCAAACTCAGGTATGACAGAGGCGGGAACCAGCGGAAAAAGGCTTTTTTATGGGCTTTAGTCGGTTAGCCTCTCTTGGAATAAGCAAGCAGATGATCCTATGAATGAATTCGAAGGCGCGCCACGAAGTCAAAGATTGTCGCAGGTCACCCAGGCGAGCGAGGGCACACTATCACAGTGGCAGAACACCGGGAACAATCTGAAACTGCTCAGATGAAACATAAAAGCCCTCACGGGGCTACGTGTTGGCACGGGAAGGCAATGAGCAGACAGCTCATAGAGTTACCGCGGCCTTCAAGTGCTCTTCATGCGAGACATTATATGACATTTAGTCTATCTGGAGTGATACATATATGGACAGAAATGTCCAGACCTATAAGGAATATCAGGGAATGATCTCAGGGCATCATACCCTATGAGAAAGCGTCGGGGCGCCGGGCACACCAAACCATTCTCAATTTTGAAGTTGATTGCGAGCATGCATCGATCTTTGAAGTGGCTTTTTGAGCTGATAATTTCGAGATCGAATGATCAACATTGTGCATTAAACATCAAGTTCAACGTATTTGAATACTGGATCCCAGAAATTTGGTGTTATTAACACCATCTAAAGGCTAGATTTCCAGCCCCCTTCCTCCCCGAAGACCTTGCCCACCTCTTTGCATACTGCTAGCAGGTGCTGATCCCGGTACCTTGGAGCTACGAGAGATAAGCCAATTGGCAAGCCATTTGAGCCCTGGAAACCCGGGACATTTACCACAGGGACGTGGAGAGCCGTCCATATACTGCAAAACGCAGCGCTTCCAGTCCTCTCTATTCCCTCCGGGGCCTCATCAGGCACACTTGGTGTGATAATTGCCGCGTACTGTCCTGCCAATTCATCGATCTTGGGCCTCAACGCCGCAATGCCGTCGAAGGCCTTGAGTTGATCCGCCCTTGAAATCTTCTTCACGTTCTCAACATGTCCTACAAGGGATTCGTCGAGAATCTCTTTCGCCACTCGATGCTCTGGCAAGAAGGCTACTCGTCCATCTGCTGACATTATGCTCCTGTGCCAGGATGGTAATTCGTCGAACTCGCGGGGCAATGCCACTTCCTCGACCTCTGCTCCATGCGCCTCCAGAAGCTTGACTGCTTTTTCCATCGCTGCAGCTGTGCCAGGGCCCACTTGTGGCCACACCACTGTCTTTACCAATGCGAACTTTGCACCTTTCAGCGTGAAGCCGGACTCGATCCTACCCTCCGTAGAACTCGGTTCGTCGTCTTTCAGTGCGAATACTTCAGCTAAGAGTTGCAGGTCCTCGACACTACGTGCGTACAACCCAAGAGTATCCAGGATGAGTGAGTAGATTTTTTGCCCTTCCCTGCTGATTGCTCCCCAGGTCGGCTTCATAGCATAGATGCCATTAAAAGACCCCGGGCGGATTGTGCTGCCGCCGGTCTGCGTGCCCAGCGCAATGGGTACTTGGAAGTCGCCTACTGCTGCGCCAGAACCAGATGACGAGCCACCAGGTGTCCTGAATGGAGCGTGTGGGTTGTGCGTCTTGGGGCCTTGAACTGTAGCTGCGAATTCTGTAGTCGTTGTCTTGCCTGCATACTTCAGCGTCAGTTCTCTAGAACAAATGCAAATTGAAATACTTTTCATACCCAAAATGAGCGCACCAGCCTGCCGCAGAATCATGATCGATGCTGCATCGACCTGTGGCGCATCTCCTGCATAGATTGGAGAGTTATGTTCGGTAGGCATGTCTGTGCTACATCAGCCTCATGGAATTTTTGACACTTGAAGGAAGCTGTAGTATTGTTCTACGAACCCTTCGTATAGATGACATCTTTCACTCCAACAGCGACACCATGAAGAGGTCCACGTTGATCGGGCGGTATTTGATCAAGCACTTTTGCTTGCTTGATCACCAGCTCAGGGTTCAGATAAGCCCATGCCTTCACTTGGTCGTCCCTCTTCTCGATGCGAGATAATAGTGACTTCGCATAATCTTCTACTGTGAGCTTTCCAGCTTTGATCTCCTTCAACACGTCGGTCGCCGTGAGACGAAAAGGCTCCATCCTCGATTGCCCTACACGTTTGATAACGCCACTTCACAAGACGTTGCTCGATGTAATGAGCGAGTGCTATTTATTTGAAAATAGACGTTTCGAATGATATTCAAGATATAATACGGGATTGTTTGTCCAGCAACTCATTGGCGAGGAGGTCAACGAACGGTCCGGATTAGGTACTAAGACCTGGGTCCACTCCCGGCCGCCCGGCATCGGCGCTTCCGTTATCTCCAACGGGCGTCGGCAACGTCTTACCGATAGACCTTTGTCATCGTGCCTAACAGCCGACAAGCGTCGCTAACGTTCATAGGCCTCAGATTGAAAACACATGGCTCGGCTAGCGATCGGATTCTCCGTTCACCTAGATGGAGGTTCCGATTTCATCGGGCCTAGACCTCTTATCAGTATCCGCGCGCTTATTAGTGCCACGAACTTTTGCAGTTTAAACTTGGTATGATGGACAAGGAGCACTGGCAAGTCACATATCTCGGGTAGCCAACGCTGTAATCACAGTGGGAGGAGAATACCTAAGTAGCGCCTTACCACGGGACATGAGTTAATGTCAATTGTGTATTATTTTCTACTGCTAAGAGCTGGAAGCATGAAATGATATGGCGATTTTGATCATAGCGATTGACGAAGCAAATGCGTGTTTGAGGTCCATTTCAGCCCCTTAGATACTGACTTTGTCACCCTTCTCCGGGATGTGCACGTTCTCCGCGTCAGTGATCGTCGGCGAGCCAGGGGCAGAGATCGCCTCCCCCCTTTCACCTTCAAAGAAGCCTTCCCTGCCATTCTTCGCCAGATATTCATAGGTCACCGGTCTCGCCGTGCCGTTAGGGAAGATTTGCGGCTTGATGAAGAATGTGAGCGCGAAATAGATGACCGATGCGGTGATGAAAGTCAAGATCCAACCCATTCGGTACATATTCTGGCCGGCCTTGCTAACAGCATGGGGCTGGTACGTGGCAACGAGACCTGGAAGACCCATGGCGACACCACCACACCAAGCAAAGACGCCTAGCCAGTTGACACCGGACCAGAACCAATACAGTCCACCCTTCGATCCATCGTAAAGTGACGGGACATGAATGTTTCCCTTCCTGGTGAAGGCGTAGTCGACCAAGATGACAGCACAGAGAGGTGCCATGAAGATGTTGTAGCTGCCCAAGAAGCTAAGAAATGTCTTTGCGTTGGTAAGGAGCTTCCAGGGGACGACAGCAACACCGAGAATAGCACAGAGGACCTGGCCCCGTCTGATGGTTAGATACTTTGGGAAGAGACCGGTCATATCAGCGCCGAATGGGATGGAATTCGCGCCAAAGTTCGTTCCAAAGGCGCTGAAAAGGAAGCAGAAGCTGCACAGAAAGACGGCAGTACGGGAGGCCGCGGTCCAGTGGTGATCGAGTACTAGAGAGAAATCCAAGTCAGCATACATCATGACACCAGCACAGCATATTTCATTTTACTTACTAGCACTCAGAAGGTCCCAAATGTTCCAGTAAGCTGTACCCCAGGCTCCTTGAATCGACGCAGTCGCTGCAAGTCCCAGAAAGAAGACCAACACCTTTGAGAAGAAGCAGGCGGCACCCTGGAGCCACGCGGCATCACGAGGCTGCTTGCAGTAACGAGCCAGATCAGGCTGGTTTACAAGCATGGGTGAGAGTGTGCCCATGATGGTATTAATACCGGACATCACTGCCCAACCCAGGGTTGTGGATGAGGCAGCTTTTTGCCCAGCTGCCGACAAGGCGTCGGCGTTTGAAAGTCCAGTGCCATTGGCCATGCACCAACCAAACAGCCCGAAGGTTGCAATGGGCATAATTACACCCTTAACAGTGAAGACGTAATGGATCTTTGTAGGATGTACAAAGCACTGCGACCAGTCAGTTTTTCCCGAGAGTTTGACGCGAGGTATTACTTACGAAAGGCAGCTCCATTAGCCACACAATGAAGAAGCACAGCAGCAGCGGCCCAGTCACGTCAGCAGACAAGGGAAGGTGATTATGAAAGTCGGTCCATTTGTGCCCAAACATGCACCGGAAGCAGACTGATAACAAATTCGCACAGTAGTATGACTGAATTCCGTACTGAAAGATGATAGAGGTTAGAAACGAGGCGTGTTCAGGGTGGAACGGGGTGGTTGTCTGCGCATGACGGAAGACTTACCCAGATGATACAAACAACGGCTCGGATGAAGATGAAGAAGAATGAGCCATACATTCCCATTACCGAGCGCGCCAAAACAGGGCTATCGATTGTTAGATTATAAGGTTAACGTAATTAGGCAGATTCCACACATACTATCCAATATGATACATGACTCCAGGTCTCGCCATCGCCATCACAACAAGAGCAGCGATGAAAGAACCGAGTGTGCAGGATATAAACGCCTGCCTCCAAGTCTGTAAATGTGTTAGCATGTAATTTTGCTCCTTAGCATCTTTAAAGTATTGATGCAACACTGTGAAATTGTGGCAAGATGATATCCAACAAGCATCCTTGGATTTTGACTGTGAGACTTACAAGGCCAACATTAATGAGACTAGCAGCTACGTTCCAACCCGTCGGTCCAAAGACTGTGAAACCCCAGTACAGAGGAAGATTGTACCACGTCCAGGTTCTCTGAGACGGAGGTGTTTGTTCGAGATCTTTGTTGCTCCATCTTGTGTTGCCAATAACAACTCCGTTCTTGTCTGGAGACTCTGGCGCCTTCACAAAGTCCATGAAAGCTTGACGCGACTGGAAAGCCGCCCTCAGCGACGTCTTGTTAGGGCTGACCATCTTGAATGTGGCGTATTGGCGAAATAGCTAGCAGCTTTGGATGGCTATGGCTCCCCTTTGGCTTGATGTGACAGGCCCGGCGAGATGCACAACGACTGGAAGCATTCAAACAACGATCATCAAGGTGATGTTCGATGCCTTACATACCTATCATCCAGCCTTGCAACATCATTACAGGTGCTTCAACTGTAATGTCTCGCTGTACTTTGCAGGTGTTAGAGGAAAGTAAAGCAAGGCACACAATTCTCACGTCAGAAATTGGAGTATCTAACAAGTATCAAGGGTCTCCAAGTAGCCCATGCCCAAGGCTGCAGAGAAACAGAGACATCGGGCATTTCCACCCGATTCTCTTCAGTGTCAGCTAACACTCTTGATAAGGGCAAAGAGTCAAGTGGGGATGGTGTTATTCCTGGCCTGTTGCCGCCAAGTGCTAGGCGGGGTCTTGGCCCAGATTGGAGCGTCTTATTGCTGGTCGGCGAGTCGTGAAAGATAAGGAAGACACAGAACGATCCAACCAATGCTAGCCCATCGGCCCAATCTGAACCGATGACCCTGCCGGTCCGGACGCGGAGAGGGTTGCACTGAGAACCGAACGGCATTCATTCTCGTAGCCAGCCAATCTAGCGCTCTTCTAAGTCCCAGAGCTTCGGTACCTGCCCTTGCGGGCGCTATGCATTGCATTGAAAGAGTCTTTGAGTGTCATTATTGATAGCGGCCCGCTTCTTTAGTCATTGTGTTTACAATGGATCAAGGGCCAGGCTCTTAGGACATCAGTCGGTACCAGATCCGACATACTTACAGCAGATGCAGATGAGCTCAGATTCTTGTTGGCATTTACGTTCCGAAACCCACACAACTAACTAACTGCAGCCGACATCCTCCCATCTCACAGGCACGCACTGCGCCGTGACAGGATCAGCAAGTAGTGCTTAGCGCGCGCAAGATACCCGGTCGACTGGTCAGAAGCTATTCTGATATGAAAGTTCCTGAAATGGATGACACGGAACTTGCGGACGAGGTTGGCCCGATCGAGAGCCCCGAGACGGCCCATGAGCATCCGGCCCCGCGCCGAGGAAGAGTCGCTCTAGCGTGTCAACGATGTAAACGCAGGAAACAACGGGTGCGGCTCTCAGACCCTTGTCCATCGAGGCGGAGACAGGCCTCTGCTAATTAGGAGTGCAGTGTGATGGTGGCAGTCCCGAGTGTACTTCGTGCCGAAAGGCAGATGTTGTTTGCATCTATGAGAGACCTATTCGTCCGCGGTATCCCGGAGGCAAGTCACTGTAAGTAGCAAGTACCGGTGTACAGAAACCATTGTCGCTCACATACACAGATACATCAATGCTTTGGAAGAGCGCATAGCCTTTCTGGAAGCACGGATGCCGGAGTATGGCCTTGATCATTTCGCCGCCGGCACGATCCCTCAGCAACCAAGTCCTGAAACCTTGAAGGTAAGGACAACACCCAAATCTCGTCGGCCATCTCACGACTCCTTCTCGGAAGAGGAGACTTCATCCCTCGTTGATGGAGTGGCATACTTATCGTTATGTGCCTCCGGAACCACTGATACGGCGCCGGAGCCCTTCTATATCGGCTCTTCATCTGGTGCCACTATTGCCCGGATGATACAGGCGTCCATCTTCCAGCAGTCCAAGTCGCCAGCCACAGCATCATCACCAGCAAGCACAGGCCCTGACGTTCTCCGCCCTTCATTCGGTCAGTTGCCAGCCGTGAGGGACTTCAGCGATGACATCTCGGAGTTCCCGCCGCGCACTCAAGCTCTCGCTTTATTCTCAGTGTTCTTCGATAGGCTCCATACACGTTGGCCGATTCTTGATCGCAAAGTGTATTACCAGCTATTTGAGAAACAGTATGACCAAGGGGCGTTGCCCCTGATACAACGGTCTATACTCCATCTGATATATGCAGTCTCTGCGCGGTTCTTGCAGCTCATGAAGAAGCCATGCAATGTCGACCCGCAGCGGCATTTCGTAGCAGCTGTCGAGCCTATGGATTACATCCTGGAGCAGCACAACCTTGCAACGGTACAGTTTCTCGTCCTCCTGGCCATCCATGGGCAACGGTCCCCATATGGAGCAGGGGCATGGTCTCAAGTGCGGTATGCCATCACACTCTGCATCGAACTCGGGCTGCACCGGAAACGCACAGATAACTCGCCGGCACACGACGCGAGGGATCTTGAGATCCGACGCCGAGTATTTTGGGCGTGCTATTGCCTAGACAGGACAATAAGTTTGCTACTAGGTCGAACATTTGCCATTGCGGATCGAGATATCAACGTTGAGCTTCCACACAGCAGTCCGGAGTATTGGGAGCTTACATCGACAGGAAGTCCTGCTGAGGACGGCCAGGGGTGGTCGAATGCGTTACCCTTCATCCATATTATCAAGCTACGGAAGATTCAATCCAAGATTCATCGGACGGTCTTCCGCGTTGATAAAGATGTCTTTACCACCGATCCCGAAGAACGAGCTCGTCTAGATGGGAAAATCGATGCTATAAGAGCAGATCTAGATGAGTGGCTCCGGACGACACCAAGCCCGCCACGAGACTCGAGCTCTGTGACTTGGATGTACGACCCTGAAGGCTCATACCATCATAATTCCCGCGACTTCTTCTTATTGTGAGTGATGAGATCCCCCAAAATTTAGAGGATTCCAAGCTTATGGGAAATACAGACAATACCACAAGACTATACTCTCACTCTTTACGGCCCTGCTGCCTACGCTGAACACAAATGACCCCCGTTTTGTTGCCGGTGCACGTTCAGCATCAAGTGTGTGCTGCGCTTACAAACGACTCAATCAGCAAAAGACACTGAGTTACACGCTGACAGCATTGCACAGCTGCTTCATTGCGGGTTTGACATTGGTCTACTGCCTCTGGAGAGATCCATCGCTCTTCTCCTATCAAGCCCTAGAGTCAACAAGAGCATGCTCTCTGTGTCTCACGATATTTGGAGAGAAATGGCCAGGAGCAGTCAAGTATCGCGATATCTTCGATGCCCTGTCAGGTAGTCTCCTGAGAAGCATAGTTAATCCCCGCTCGTCAGAGAAAGGGCAGTCACCTCAGTCATCGCGGCGGCAGTCTAAGAGCAACAGCGGCCCACGGCCCTTGGAGATCAGAATGGAGTCTCCTGCGAACCCCTTCTCTGCTGCTGGCGGACTTGGAATGAATGACACGCCGATGGAGACAGCGCAGCCTATGGCGCAGGACTGGCCAGAGTTTCAACAAAGCAACGTAGAGCAGCGACCGCAAAATGGTGTGAACAGCGGCAATGTGAACAACATGATCTTAGGCGCGGTGAAAGAAGCGTTCATGGAGGTCGATGAGGAGGCGCCGGGAGGATATCATGGGTGGAGAATGTTTTCGGAGATGGTCGACAGCACCTCAACCAAGCAGGAGCATGTTGGTGACAGCGACCATAGGATAGGGGGAATGGAACATATGGGTCAACAGATCTCAATGACCACTCAGCCGCTGCAGGAGATGCCAGTATTATGGGATGACGTCCCAACAGAGTTCTATTTCGGGAGCGGGCCGAGCCACCAGGCACATTTGGATACCATGACGACAGATCAGGGGCTCTGGACCATGGATGGATTTCAGGGAATGAGATGATAAATTGTGGACGGGAAGAATTGATTTTAGCTACTACAAGTTGACTATCTGGTCTACAGGCGTTACTTATCTAAGGATACCATTAATGCAGCTTTCGGTCTCGGGCAGCTCGCCACCTTAATCATTGCGAGTGAGAATGCGATTCCGAATTCGAAAGAGAAAGCGGGTGCTTTGGCGAATGCCAAGAACAGTAACGTTGACGTTATGAGAGACTTGATTCTTCATTTGTTCAAGAAGGCCGAATCCAAGTCATTCGCATTCGCATTCGCACGTGCGAAAAAGAGATTGCGATCCCTGTTGTGAGCGAGCGCAATTTGCAGCTATTCCCACTTTTCGGTCTCGGTATCGTGTAGGGTTAGATCAATGATTACATAGGACATTGTCTCGCGTCGACCAGCTCATCAGCCTCAACAAGTCAGAGCTCAACTTCTTTTTTATCAGCTATTCAATCATGCCATCTATGCCAAGAAACCCTTCCTGTAAGGGTACTGCTGCTTAAATGACTCCGCAATCTCTGTCCTGGTGGCCACCCACACTCCCTCCTTCTTAGATATGTAGTCAACAAACTCCTTCAGCGCCGCAAATCTACCCGGCCGTCCGATAATACGGCAGTGTAGACCGATAGTCATCATCTTCGGTTGGCCCTCCTCCCCTTCCTCATAGAGCACATCAAAGGCGTTCTTGATGTGCGCCAGGAAGCCGTTCGGGTCACGGAAACCGGAGCCAGCCACATGGAACTTGAAATCATTACAGTCGTAGCTATACGGAAGCATGAGCAAGCCCTTGGGCGACGATAATGTCTTCTCGTGAGGCAATCCAGACCAATATGGCACATCGTCCGCATACGTGTCACTGAACCAGACGAGCTCCTCTCCCATCTCCTCATACACTTTCGGCACCAGCGCGCGCGACTGTGGGCTGGGCCGGCCATAGTACCAGCCCTTTGGTGCGTAGCCTGTTAGTGATTTGAGTGATGTGATAGCTTTCTTGATGAAGTCTGTCTCCTTCTCTACCGAGAAGTCGTGGTAGTCGACCCATCGGTAAGCGCTATAGAACGGACAATATTAGACTTCTTCAGCTTCTCGCAAGCACCGGGAGTACTCACTGAGATGCAACCTCGTGGTTCTCCTCTAGACATCTCGTGGCGACCTCTGGTTGCTCCTCAAGCGCCGTCGCCACGGCATACAAGGTGAATTTCATCTTGTACTTGTTAAACAGCCGGAACAGGCGCCAGAAACCCGCTCTGCTGCCATACTCGTACTCCGATTCGGTATTATAATTACGCTCATTGATACGCGGAGGTCCGCCCGGGTTTTCACGCAGATTTGGCTCTGAAATGCCGTCGCCTTTCAGAACGCTGCGCTCGCCACCCTACAGAGCTGGTGTCAATGCATACATGTCTACAGATGGAGTTCCGCACATACCTCCTCATAGTTGATCACGAATGATACAGCAATCTTGGCGTTGTTTGGCCATTTCAATGGGAGCCCAGCCTCGCCATAACCTTTGAAGTCACGGTCGAAACCGTAGTCCGGATGTGCTACGTACAGCTCAGGCATGGTGGGGAGTTGATGGTGACGACAGAGACTCTTCAGGAAAGAATATGGCAATGACAAGAGATGAAAAAGAGTAAAAAGCAAGCAAAGCTGACGTCTTTCAATTGCAGGCCAGACTCTATTTTCCCCACGTAATGCAGGTCTCTCATACCGGCATCATGAGCCGTCACTGCAAAGAAACCCATCCTACCATCAGGACCATTGAGCGCCAAGGATCCCTTATCGCGAGCTTCTCTCTGGAGCTTCCAGAGCTTCGCAGTGGGGAAGTGGAAGCGGCCGACAGTGCCGATATCGTTGTAGAGCTGCTCCTCTTGCTCACTAATGCACTAAGCTTGCGGGCGGCTGCAGAAGTACAAAGCCTGCACTAGCCCAGGAACATCAGGCGATGAATGAAAGGTAATCGGCTGGAAAACTCCCGTAGCACTCGCCCGACTCGACTTACAGAGAGGGTTTCGGACGACCGACAGGTTCGGCTCAGTGGCCGAAGACCGCAGCCCTAAATCGGGGTTCTAAGGGGCGATGTGGGGTTTGCAGAAGGCCGGAGCTTTAGTTAGGGGAGATAAAGATGGCATTTGGTGGATCATTTAACCTGTCAATTGGTAAAGGTCATTATTCCCAGTAGCTGTCTATTACCGTCAGGGATTGGGCAAGCCCATGACACTTGAGATTACCAATTGTGCTGTGGTAGACGTTTGGGCATCGTGAATAGAGATTCCTCTATCACAATCGATAGCATCTAAACCTGTTAATAGATGGTGACTACCTGAATTACTCGCGTGGATGACATTCACACCACGCCAATAGAAGCAAGCAAACATATCGGAATTGCTTCAGTCAGCTGGATAAAACTGTTTATGCAATATTTTAGTGACCATGATCTCATCTATACCAATGCTTCCTACGTGCCTCTTGCGTGGCCATGCTAATGCTAACTCGATGCCAATGCCAGATGCCCCTGAAATGCAATTTTGATGTCCTTCCCGTAGAGTATGCAGGCTGACGACGATGATATATACAATGTTGTCATTTTGGAAACCTCTATACCTCCTCACGTTTCTTTTCCGGCCCGTTGGCCTCGCTCTCCGTCGAGACATGGTCCCCCTGCACGACACCAGTCTCCGGGATAGCATCTTGTTCCTCAGACTTCGGCTCGTGTTTGGGCGCTTTCGCACCCGGCTTCAAGCTCTTGTTTCCTATTCCCACAGTTAGGAGGACGTTGACGGCCGCGCTGCAGGCATAGAAGATGAATATCCAATGCAGAGCCGTCATATAAGCCTTGCGAACCGCCGGCTTGTCCTCGTCAGGGACGTCATCAACGTCCAACTCTGAGAGCGTTTTGCCCTGAGCGAACGGATAGCTGGACAGCTCCTTGCTCAGAGTATTAGACAGGATCGCGCCGGCGGCAACAAGTCCAAACGCACCGCCCATCGTCCGCATGAAATTTCTTAGGCCTGTTACGACGGCGCGGTCTTCCGTCCTAGAATTTGCATACAGTCCAACGAGTGCTTACACAACGTTAGTCTCTAAACACCTAGCAAAACGATAAGAAGTGGTTCTCACTAGGCTGCAGTGTCAATCCAATGCCCGCTCCCTCGATCATGAGGATGACAATGATAGCTCCCAGCGGCAGAGACTGTGAGAACATGCACCTCAGACCCGTTCCAAGCATCCACAATACGAATCCCACGGCAACCGGTGGTAGGTACCGGTGAAAGCGTGACATGTATTGACCCGACAGGATCGAGAGGATGGATGTTGATATGACCAGGGGTAAGAGAAGTGCACCCGACTCCAGTGCTGGGTATGCCCGAACAGACTGCAAGTAAATCCTAGGTAAACAACTCATTAGGCTCCACATTCATACATCATAAAGAGTTTGGTTGCTTACGGGACTATAGGAGGTCAGCAATGGGTAGTATACTCTTGACAAACACTGACATACCATAGAAAAAGTTTCCGTAGAAATTTACCCCTGAGAAGAAGCTTTGTCCGTAGATATAACTACAATGCGGTGCTTGATAAAGGCGCACTACAAATTGATCAGCGAACGTCATATAATCGAGCAATTCGAGTGTCCTTACAGGGCATGAGAGGGTATCTTGCCCATTTCCACTCATAGAGCACAAATGCTGCAAAAAGTACAACACCAATCACGAGCATTACTATGAACTGCACAGAGTTCCATGCATAAGTGACGCCTCCACCGCTCAAGGGGATCTTACCAACCTGTTAGTCCAGATCAAAAGTCAGGGGTGATGAGGCATACCAGAATTAAAAGGACACCAGCTAGATTGATCGCTATGCCGCCGAAGTCTATCTTCTTAGCCTTGTTCAGATAATTGCCCTTCTCATAGGCGAGTGGCAGGAAGAACAGGATAGCCAGAGCGGCGGGCATGGCTAGCATAGGAATAATCCAGAAAACCCATCTCCAAGATGCCTTCTCAACCAAGACACCACCAACAAAAGGCCCCGTGCCGTTTGCAAGTGCGAGCACTGCACCAAGAATGCCTACATGGATTTTAGAATTCCAGTGGATTTTAGACAAGGGGGAGCAGAATCACCTTGATATTTACCGCGGTTAGCAAGGGTCGTCACGTCTGATACAATGATCATCACGATGCTATTGATGCCGCCGCCTCCTATACCAGCAATAGCCCGAAAAGCAAACAGCTGAGTTGCCGTCTTTGCGAATCCCGTCAGGAGGTCTCCCAGTCCCATGAGAAGCAGCGAGGCCAGGAGAACATGTTTGCGCCCAAATATGTCTGACAAGCGCCCATTGATGAGCTGAAACGCCACCGAGGCAATGAGAAACGAGCTGCCAATCCAGGCTGTACTCGGACCAGTGTTGAGCTCAGCAGAGATGGCAGGTATACATGTCGATACACTTGTCTGGTCGAAAAAGGAAACATACAAGCATGTCGCTAAGGCAGGAAATGCTATGAGAAGCTGTTTCTTCGACAGCAGCTTGCGCTGATTGCCTATGCTCTCGGCAATGCTTGCTGTTTCCGCATCATCCTGACCCTCTTCATCCACCGTTGAGGAGTTGGAAGACTTCTCCTTGTTGTCCAACATCGTGGAGCTGTGCGTGTCGTCTGTGGCATGCGTCGTGATACTGTCGTTGGCTGCGACACCACCACCATCTCGGCTGCCCATCGCTAGTTTACCCCCTTTGGAAGCTAAGAGGCAACTATGCTGAGATAAAGGAAAGGAGAAACATAGTACGAGAAGTGACAACGATCATGACATCGGAGTAAAACGTGTATAGCTTTCCTAGATTCGCGGCGCTTAAGTGAAATGGTTTCCACCTACATCGGAAAACGTTTTGAGCGACCGTCACTTCAGAATCCTCCCAAAGACAAATCGACTCTCGTCAGCGCGTGTTCTAACGGAACGAGCATGGCGATTTCGAGGCCCACTTCCCGATGAAGCACTGGCAGGCGTAGGTCTGTAGGCTAGTTGCCTCCTAGTGTAGATCGGTAAGTTTTGTGCCGACATCCCTACGCCGAGCGATGTCAACGGCGGGTGGTTAGCCAAAAGACGATCCAGAATAACGCCATTGACTAACAGCAGAGCGAGAGGGCGGCTTTCGGCTTAAAGAGCATGTGTTCTAGAAGCTATTAGTGATCTTCGGCGACCCTGCAACAGTGTACCGGCCGCCAAGGCTGAAGCTTCCCGAAAGCCACACCTTGCTCCGCGCTTCCAACGTGCCGGTTCGCTTATCGTGATGGAACAAACAGCTGCTTGAGCAGATCGTATCTTAGATCGAGAGAAGTTTATTCTGTCTATACAATCTATCGCGCACAGGGCGCAGGAGAACATCACAAGGGCCAGTTCCGATCTCTCAATTCGAAGAGTTGCGCGCAGTTACCAGAACTGTTCTGGAAGATCAATCGAATACCAACCATGACGAAACTCTTCACCCCTCTCGACATCGGCCCTGTCAAGCTGAAGCACAGGGTCGCAATGGCGCCCCTCACACGTTATCGCTGCGACGATGACTGGGTGCCACTGCCCATCGCCAAAGGTGCGCGAGCCTTCCTCCGGTGTAAGTCGATAAGGTGCTGACTGCGTCGCAGAGTATTACACGCAGCGGGCTTCCGTCCCCGGCACGCTCCTCATCACCGAGGCGACATTAATATCCCGCCGCGCCGTCGGCAGGCTGAACGTCCCCGGCATCTGGAGCGAGGCGCAGATCGCCGCGTGGAAGGAGATCACAGACGCCGTGCACGCCAAAGACTGCCGCATCTTCTGCCAGCTATGGCATCTCGGACGGGCCGCCCGCGCAGACGCCGCCGAGGTGGCGGGCACAAGAGTGGTGTCCTCCAGCGCCGTGCCGGTGGACAGCAGCTCGCCGATCCCGCACGCCATGACCGAGGAGGAGATCTATGAGACGATCAGTGATTACGCAGAGGCGGCGCGCAATGCCGTGCAGAGGGCGGGCTTTGACGGCGTCGAGATCCATGGCGCGAATGGATATCTGTGCGATCAGTTCCTGCAGGATACCTGCAACCAGCGCACGGATGGCTGGGGCGGCAGCGTCGAGAAGAGGGCTCGATTTGCCCTCGAAGTGACCAAAGCCGTGGTGGCAGCCGTCGGCTCCGACAGGACGGCGATCCGCCTCAGTCCCTTCAGCGACTTCTTAGGCATGCTGATGAAGGACCCCTATCCGCAATTCGAATACATCGTCAAAGAGCTGAAGCCTCTGAAACTGGCTTACCTGCACCTGATCGAGGCGCGCATCAGGGGCAACGACGATGCATCGTGCGGCGAGGGCCATAATGTCAGCTTCCTGGTGAAGCTATGGGACAATGCGAGCCCCGTTCTCCTCGCGGGCGGTTTTACTCCCGAATCTGCGAGGAAAGCCGTCGACGAGACATACAAGGACTACGATGTTGGCATCGTCTTCGGACGATATTTCGTGTCCAATCCAGATCTTGTCTTCCGAGTGAGAGAAGGCATTCCACTGATAAAATACGAACGGACATATTTCTATACTCCAAAGGTCACAAAGGGGTACACGGATTACCCATTCAGTCAAGAGTTTTTGGCAGAGGCGGCATGAGAAGAGGTCAAATTACTGAGCTAGGCGGCCCCAATTGGGACACAGACGACGAACTTGGTGTACCTCTCTGCGTTGCATGCCTAACTTATAGGCGTTGCTTCCTCTAATATCATTGCAAGATGTATAAGTGCTGGTGGATCCTCTTGGTGTTGGTGGGTTTTACGCCATGAATCTTGGACATGTCGGTGGGATTATGTTACGTTGGGGAAATCTGTTCAAAATCTTGAATGAGGTAGCTCTCAAGTGTCACGATGGCTGATTGGAGTGATGGCATTGCGCGATCTCACTCCGATGGTGTCTGTACGCCGATGACTCAATGCCGAGCTAAGCTGCAGGAACCCTTGCATCAATACGCATATACAACAATTTGGACATACGAAATGACCTATATAGAAAGATTCATTACCATCAGTTCCAACAATTTGAATACACCGTAAGATCAATCGTGTGAACGTCTCAGAACCGCTAAACAGACACAATGACTTCACCGGTCGCAACGCCCTCCGCAGCCGAAATCACAAAACACCATGTCTACGACCCGGCCGGCATAGACCGCATCGCCCGGCGACGACCGCGCACCATCGAGATCGTCGAGCCGGACCCCTCGTGGCCGGCGGCCTACGCCGAGGTCGAGGCCCGCATCCGCGCCGCCCTCGGCGCAGACGGCCTCGTCTCCGTCAGCCACGTCGGCAGCACCAGCGTCGCCGGCCTGCCCGCCAAGCCCGTCATCGACGTCGACCTCGTCGTGCCGGACCCGACGCGCGAGGACGCCTACGTGCCGCAGCTGGAGGCGGCGGGGTTCCTGGTGAGTTTTTTTTCTTTCCTTTTTTTTCCCCTTTCCGGCCCGATGATGGCGGTGCATGCTCGTCTGTAGTTGGTCTCCAAAGCATAGTCTATCTCGCGTCTCCCGTGTACGGCGTTGTATCACTTAGTTCCCTAGCATCTGACACCCCGTCGCCCCCCTGAAGTTCATCCTGCGCGAGCCAAACTGGCACCAGCACCGCTTCTTCGGCCTCGAGACGCCCTACGCGAACCTGCACGTCTTCGGGCCAGGCTGCGCAGAGACGGTCCGGCACCGCATCTTCCGCGACTGGATCGCCTCCCACGAGGACGACCGCGCAAAGTACGTCGCCATGAAGCGGGCGGCGGCGGCGGCGGCGCGCGAGGCCGGGGAGACGACGCAGGGGTATAACGTGCGCAAGGAGCCGGTCGTGCGTGAGATCCTCGAGCGGGCGTTTCGGGCGCAGGGCTTGTTGCCGCCGGAGTGAGAAGCCAGATTGTGAAAGTGACTGTGCGGTAACTTGGGACCTTCAGCGCGCTTCTATGAACGTAAGAAATCGAAACGGTAGACTGGGCATTCAGATGAAAGCTATTTGATCTGTTGGTGAGGGTAATATTCGACAGTAGTGGCCAGTTGCTCCTGAATTCGCTTGAATTGATCAGGAGCGTTTTCATCATCTACAAAATGGCGAATCGGGGTCAAAAAAAAGTATCAGAGCCTCACAGGGACGAGACGGCCAACAATTTGCAAGAGTTCTTTTTAGGATGGCAACCTATTTACTCCATACACACAGAACGACCAATGAATTTACCTTCCTACCATCCATCCGTCCGTCCATCCATTCGTCTAACCAGCAAGCCAAGCCTCCCTGTCTGTCTGCCTGCCTGCCCTTCCGTTTCGTTTCGTTGATGGTCAATACCATCGAAGACTGGTGTTGCCTCTCTACTTCACAAGCACGAGCCAAGCTGGTCGCACCTCCCCTTTAGGACGGTACGACCATCGTAAGAAGCTCGACTTGGTGAAAGAGGTGAACACGAATAGGAAAATTCTTGGAATATTGGGGGGCAATGCGTGTAGATAGCAATATTGTGTTGTGGAAAAGGGGTTGGGGAATGTGCCACGCAGTCCTGAGACTTTTTCGAGAGCCGCAACGCCTATGCAATGCCGAGTCGAGGATACGCCGGAAGGAAAGAAGTGCCTCCAAAGCTCCAGGATCAGACAACTCGTCACTCCTTGACAGCATTGACTTTGACCTGTTTGCGCTGTTAGCCATGCCCATTTGATTCAAGGGATCTCGCAGAAGTGCTCACCAGGAAGTCCCAAATCATCTTTCCCAGGTTGTCTGGCAGAGTGAACAGATCAACCGAGAACTCGCCAGCTGGTGGAAGTTAGCATCTCATCATCATACTTGAGGTCAAACAGCCGGGGATGAAAAATACCTTCAATGTTGTTCTGCATGTAGGTATCATCAGACTTGTGATCATGGATCATTTGGATCACCTGAAGGAGATCATCCTCCTCAAGCTTCGTCATGCCATCGGCCATCTTCTCGACATCATACGGCTTCTTCTTGTTCTTTCCGCCATCCGCCGCCTTGCGATTCTTGCGCTCCTCGTCCGAAGGGAGGGGGCCAGTCTCGCGAAGGACTTGCTGCAGAGCTTGGGAAGGGTTCTTGAAGGTGATCGGGTGAATCACCTCGTATGTTGGCTTGAAGAAGTTGAGATCGTGGATAAAGGTAGACTTGCCGCCCTTCTCGGTGGTGTAGCAGTCGATTGACATCTCAAACTCACCCCAGCCCTCATTCTTGCACTTGAACGGGGGCTCGTGGAAAGCTATCAGACGTGTGAGCGCGATGAAAATCTCACATTCGTTTCACTTTCCACTTACTCTGCACAGGATTCTCGAAGGACGGGTGAAGATTGTAGACGACTTTCGTGAAGCAGCGAGCAGGACGCTCATTGCCATCCTGATCCAGAATGTACAACTCAATGGTCCACTCCTTCATAGGAAAGCCCTCCATTTGCGGGGGTTTATCACTGTCCAACGGGTCAGCCTCATCGCTCACCCACGTTGCACCTTCCGTTGAAGAACGGCTGGAACTCACATATTGTGTTGCTCGGTAACGAGCTTGATTTGGCGCTGCCAAAGGTCAGGTTTCTTAGCAGGCATGATCGCGAGTGGACGATGATACATCAAATGCGTGTGTTTGCGCGCGCGAGTAGAATACGATGCAGGGAAGGGGAAGGAATTGGAAGTGATGCGACTGAAGCTGTCGCAATCTTGCTGGAAGGTTTGAGGAAGGTTTTGGTTGGGGACGAAAGATGGAGGTAAACAAGTTAGGGAGGCAGGAAGCTCCAAAAGAAGCTCCAACAGGCTTCAGAGCGTGCCATCCCCGTTTGTCCCACACCCCATTTGTGATGAAATTGTGAAGCTGGGCCAGGCTCCACTACGTGCTAGGAAAATGACATACCTCGACAATCATCTTGAGCTTAGTAGTACGATATTATGACAGAATATTTTCACACAGTTGCCGATTCCCAGACGAGTCGATACTCAATACACTCTTGCACGTCCCACTCCCAATCTAGTCGAGGTAGAAGCCACAGTCGCCAATGGAGCCACCTCAATGATAGCGCCGGCGAGGTTGACCCCGGCGTACAGACAGAGCAATCTCTCGGGCTCGAGCGAGAACAAGAAGCTGCGCCTCAGAGGGGGACTCGGAGAGGGTGGCGCCGCTCAGGTCGGGGTCCGTCAGGGCTCCCGAGCCGAACTCGATGGGACGATGGTAGTCGTCGTCCGCGGCGAACAGCAGGTCGACGAGGTCCGGGTAGCTGGTGGTGCCGCGGTCGGTCACGTACTCGAGCCGTCCGTTGAGGACAAACGCGTTGACGCCCTCCGAAAGCGCGAGCAGTCGTCCGTACTGGAGCTGCCACAGTCGATTGACGAACCGAGGCGGGGTCAGCTCGCTGATGCAGAGATGCTCGTCCTCTTTGGACAGACGATCCCAGTTCACGCTTCTCTGGAAGACGTAGGTAGCAGCGTCGTCCGATGGGCCAACCGTGAAGAACCCCTCAGCGTAGGTTCTGGTGGTCTTGCCGATAGGTATGTAACCTGTTCTTGTCTCGCCGGGGAGGATAGGGCCCGTTTCCTAGTGGAGAGGATTGCCCGTTAGTAAAGAGTACAATATTCGAACAGTTTGTGAAGGTGCGAAGATCAGCTTTTCCCAAAGCTTGGGCGATGGATCTTTGGTGCTGTAAGAGTTACCTCGTGGAATTCGAGAGGGAGGGTCGCATTCCCCTTCATCAAGCAGTGGAAGCTCATCTTGATTGGCGTTCTGGGCGGCTCTGGATCAATGATGTAGCGAGATCACGTGCAAGGCTTGTGGCGCGAGCTTGAAATTGTGGCGTTGAGGGAGAAAAGTGGCGCTAGTGGAGGTGGAAGTGTGGCGCTGGTGAAGCTCGCACCAACCTAAGGGGTGCCAGCCCCACTTTCGTTCACCCTCCACAAAACACCTTAAAAGGCACCATGCACACTGTTCACATGATATATTGCCTATCATTAAGGAACTACATTCCTATAATGGAGAAGCAAATGTCAATAGTGAAATATTATGTGGCTCGACATGCTACTCTATAATTTTTCATGGCATCATTGAATATCGGCAATGGAGTTCAGCATCATCAAGTACGCTTGCTACAATGTCATTCAAGACACTAGACAGGCTTGATTTCGGGCAGGAAGGTCATGTTATTTGGTCTATTTACAACTGCTCAAGGGCGATCCAGGAAAGCAGTCTACTCGATCAGGGGGACAGGTTGATTGCTATGGCCATGAATTCCATCCTTCCACTTCAGAAATACTCAGCCCGGCCCGCGCTAGATAGCAAAAGCCAAGCATCGTAAAAGGAACCATCACTTGACGGTTCACAGGAATCTCCAAACACAAGCGGGGGTAGGTTTGCATTCGTAGATGAAGTGAGCGTGCAATATGCCTGAGGGAAATGTGTTGTTGTTCTGGGTAAGTTTTTTGACGTGGGTGAAGGACAGGTTTTGGGGTTGTCTAAGTAGTCTACTGCCATAGAGGGGAATATGGCGATAGGCGTCTGCAGTGGGCTATACCCAACAATTATTCGGCACGGCTCGAGCTGGTGTTTGTCATGGCTGCAGTATTTATGCGGCCTCCTCAGTCTCCTTCTCGACGGCCGGGGCCTCATCAGCCTCGCCCTCCGCCTTGTTGAACAGCTCCTCATTCTCCTTCTGGGCCTTGATGAAAGCATCCTTGAAACCGTTGGCGTCTTGAACGTATGTTAGCATCAGCGCAAGTAATTATGGCAAGACCACTTACTCTCAGAGTTGGCAAACCGAATGGCAAGAGTAACGGCCTCAGGCTCGCCCTCGCTGACGTCGGCAGCGGCATTCCAAACCCAGCTTCGGTCAGAGCCGACGTTGGGGGACAGCTTCATCTCGGGGACGACTAAGAGGCGGATTAGCGCTCGCAACACTTCGACTCAAGTCGCAATAACTCTAGACATACTGTAGTGGTTGGCGCAGACCTTGAGGGTCTTGTCTCGGCGCATGACCAGCCGGGTCTTGCCGTTCTCCTTGTGCTTCAGGAGACGGACGTCGCCAGTGCCACGCTCCTTCCACTCGCTGGCCTCGCGCTTGAAGATGAAGAGCTTGGCGCGCATCTTGAACATCTGCTCCTCGGACTCCTCGTTGGTCTTGACGTCGACCTTCTCGGTCAGGCGGATGACGGGCTCGAAGTGGACGTCCTCAGACTCGGGGGCCTCCTCCTGTAGATAGACACACCATCAGCTTCTGTGCAGACGTGGCGACCCGGCAAGGGTCCAAAGAGAAATGAGTATGACAATGGAGACTCACCTCATCACCCTCCTTAGCAGCGGCAGCGGCATCACGCTGGGCCTTGGCGCTGCCAGAGTTGTCGCCGCGGTCCTCATCCTCGTCCTTCTTCTCCTTCTTTGCGCCGCCGCCGAACATGGAGAAGACGGCATTCTGGGTGACAGGGGTCTCGGTGGTCTGCAAACCCAACTGATTAGCTTTCACCCGATACCAATCTGATGCAAAGTCCAAGCGCTGTCAAAGGCTGTGGGCGCGTGTGGTGCTTCGACTGTTGCGGGAGTATCTGCTACCCCGCGACCGCCATTATGATATCAAGCGCCAAAAGGGCGTGGGGAGAGGACGACGATGCGCATGCAGCACGGTAAATGTTCGAACGCACCTCCTTGGGAGTCTCCTCCGCGACAGGCTTGACCTCCTCGACGGGCTTGTCGGTGTTCTCGGTAGACGACATGGTTGCAGGAGGTGGTGGTGTGGGTGATATGCACTGATTAGAAGAAGCTGTGCAAAACATGAAAACAAGACGTCAGCACATGTTTGTGCCTGTGGGCACGAGAGGCCAGCATTTTCAAATCTCATCGCAGCTGAGGGGAGATGGCTTACCAGATGTTACAGGCACAGCGATAAGATATGAGTACCTGGTGGTATTTGGGGAGAGTAATTCGTGGAAGAGATGGTGCTTCGGCCGTCGTCAAACGATGTGGGAGGGAGAGAAAGAAAATGGAAGCGTTGCCCCTCTCTGCATCAAGAGTGCAAGTCAACAACAGGAGCAGCCCGCAGCAGAAGCACAGAAAAAAAGGGCCCAAGCTGAGAGGTACCCCGCCGCCCAAATCAGGTGGCAATTGTACATCGGGCCGCACGATTGCGGCCTGCCCCTAGCGGGGTGCCATAGTGGGGGTTACTCAAGCGACACGCAGCCAATAGCACATACCTCCTCCCCACTCCCTTAGAAATGTACCGCCAAAGCCTAGGCTCAAGCCCCTGATTCTCAGATCCAAGTCAGTATTGAGCTGCAAATCACAAAACCACCATGGGGCATGGAATGAGGTCAAGTCAAGTCCAGTCACTCGTTTTCGATGTCAACACACAGTCCGGTCTAAAATATGTTTCGTGTTCGATAAGCTAGATAGGTGGGCGTTTAGGTAATCCAGTCGAGTCCATGTAGCGTAGATGCTCTCTTGTGCGAGACTTGACAAGTGCAATATCAAGCAAGGATAAGGCAGCGAACAGGACCTTCTCAAATCATCTTCAAGCAGCGATGACCAAACCTCCCTACGAACGCTGCGGCAGGTCTTGAGTAGAAGAGATGAATAGGGGGTAACATAGAATATGAATCCTAACGCAACATAGCAAGTGTGTCAATCGAGCAAGCCATCAACGCCGACCCAAGCCCTCTCGCCTGGGTCCCTAATCTGTCATATTCCTTGTTCCGACCATGGGTGAAAAATCCGTATGCAAACCACTAGAAACTCCCTACAATAGACCCTATTAGCCCCGGAGAGACTTCCACTTGTGCGTCAGTCCCTTCGGCTTCTTTGCCTCGCAGGACCCCTTACGCCAGGAACACTTCGAGGACTCAGCGTCCGCTTTCCGCGCTTGCTTAGCCTTCAGATTCTCCTCGTGCTTCTTCTTCAAGAATCTGCTCGCCTTACGCTCATACTCCTCGTACTCGGCAGTCTTGCCTTGCACTCTAAGCCACCAGAGCCTGGAAGCAACTTGGGCCTTCAGGATAGAAACATCCACGTCATCCCGAATGCCCTCAGCTGAGCGAAACTGCTGAGTCAATGCATCCTGAGCTCCTTGCCAGAGCCTTCCGACGTTATTAGTTTGGAATGTGTCCTTGACGCGGTCGACGGTCTCCGATGAAATTCGGGACGAGTAATCCTGCGCGGCTTTACCAGCGTCCTTGACGGAATCTGTGAATGAGGCAGCCTCGTCCTTGATCTTGTCGGCGACTGAATTCAAGACAGGGGCACAGCTATCCTCCACGACCTTGGCAGCATCCGCAGCTGAGCCAGCGAATTTCTTCGCCATCTCCTCCAATAGATCTTTGCCAGCTTCAAAGGCCTCCACAATGAGAGGTCTGCCAAAATCGACAGCAAATGTCTCGTTTATCTTGGGTTTCCGTGTGGTAACCACCGACACATTCAAGACGCCGTAAGCATCCTTCTGATTGATCTCGACCAGAATGCCTTCATCAATGGTGGACAGGCGGGACTTGACGGGATCCTTTCCTCGGTAGATGTCAATATCAATGGCACCCTTTGCCAGCCATGTTGTCTTGGTTCCCGCTGCGACCTTGATGAGGATCTCATTGCCGCTGTACATCTCAACAGAGCAAATAGTGCTCTTCGCCTTGGACTCCGAAGTGGCAGTCTCGGCCTTGTCAGACAAGAATCCACCGAACGGCAGAAGACTAATCGCCGACGGTTCTGCTGAGGTAATTCGCACCGTCTTGGTAGATGTCAGGTTGATTGTAACGGTTGCTGTCGCTGTTGAGGCGATGCTACTTGGTGTGGTCGATGACACAGTGGAAACAGATGCGGGGAGATTGGGTACAGGTGCTGTGTTCTGTGATGGGAAGACATAGGAGGCCAATAGGTTCGAAAGAACCACACCCAAGAGCGCGAGGATCACGTAAACGGCGCGGCTGCAGAAGGCATCCTGGAACAGGTCATCGAGCTTCTTGAGAATGCTGAGCTCAATCACTCTAGGCTCGGGCACGCTTTCACTGTCAGACTGCCCGATGACATCGTCAATCAGTTCCTCTGCCGTAGGGACTGGCTCCTGCAGCCCGGTGAGGTAAGCAAGGTTCCTGTTCATCTGGCGGTGGTCAATGTTCATGAAAGAGGCAAAATCAATGGGGAGCCTCGTCGGAGGGATGGGATGCTCGGGATCCCGGGACTCGATCGACAGGTGAACAGCATGAGGGTCAATAAAGTCTCGCCAGCGTCCAGACAGCGGCTGCGTGAATGTCTCCTTCTCCGAAATGAAGATGGAAGGGATGGCGTGGCGATTAGTAAACTCCCATGCAATATCCCGGGTCTTTTGGGTGGTCTCGTCATCGCTCGGAGTGCAGTAGAAGATAGCTACGTGCGGCAGGCTCCAAGCCGGCTGCAACTGAGCACCACCAGCGTCCAGGAACGATCTGTACTTCTTCTCGCCGTCGATAGTGAGACAGTAGACAATATCGTCCGAGAAGTGATCCCCTTTATACACCTCTTCTTCGGCAAGGGTGCACGGATCCACCTTGATCTGGTACCCTGACATCTCCATGAGAGCAACCTCGGGATCTTTGATAGAGCCGAATCCGACAGGCACGATGTTGTAAAGGCCATCCGTGTTCCTACGCACGGTCTTGCCGCTGGTGTAGTCTGTGGACTGGGAAGAGGTGATGGCGCGGGAAATCTTGTAGACAATATCTCGCTCTGCAGCCCTGTGGCCAACATATAGAACCCGAATAGGCTCACGAGTGCTCAGGCAACCCTGGGACATGGTCTGTCGAACAGTAGCAATGAGACGAGCAGGTGGGTTTGCAATATGGAGGTTGTCAGCGATCTGTGCCGTCTCTGTCTCATTGAAGTCCGTGATGGTATGCTTAACAGATATCTTGTCCAAGTATATCGGGCTGTCAGCCTCCTTGAACTCGATCGGCTCAAGCAAAGAGGTTGACTCAGCCTGGGATACATATCCCAGGTGTGTGGTAGCTTGCGCAGAGGGGCTTCCCAGAGCCTCGTCTGCATATCTGATGGAGGATGTATGTGATTGATGTTCTTCCTCTTGTGCCTCGGACTCCTCGTCCGATTCGGTCTCGTATGCACTATGTTCTGTGCCTGAGACACTATGCACATCGTCGGGGCGGGGGTAGACGTCGAGATCGGTAGAGTCGGCAATAGACTCGGTGCCTCGACCGTCGAGACTCTCGTCGTCTGTGCTACCGATAAGCTCATAGGTGGAGTCACCCATGCTGCTCTCCTCGTTCAAACTGGAAGGCGCCATGATGTCGGCAGAACTGGAAGATATCCAGTTCGCAAGCTTCTGGTTGCCTTGTGGTCGCGGGAAGCGAAGCGTGGGTTCGGATCTTGAGGTCGATGGTGGTGCTGGGCTCGGCTGAGACGCCGTGGTCTGTCGTATAAGAGGGGTGCTGATACCGATGTCAGAGGACTGTTCGGCCTGCGCTTCCATAACGAGGTGGAACGTGTTAGCCTCGACTTGAGGTCAAGTCATTCCCCAATAGCACATGCGTATCGGAGAAGAAGAAGAAGAAGAAGAAGATTATTATTATTAGGAAGCTGAGGTGCGGTTGTGAGAGAGTTTGAAGGTTCAGGAATTGCTGGTAGGCAGGCAGAGGCAATGCGGCGCCTGTGGCGGACGATGGTCCCTGCTGAGATGAGGGGTCGTTGTAGCAGGCAAGGTCGAGAGGTATGTAGGCACGCAAGGCGGGACAAGACGGGAATTGTCAGGAACGAACCAGGGAGGAAGAAAATGATAAACTGACTGCTGGCACAAATGAGATCTATTCTTGCTTTGCTTCTTCAGTCTCCTTTCTCCGCTGGCGGTGGTTCTAAAGGTAGAGGAGATAGATGGATAGATGGATGGATGGATGGATGGTGATCCGCGCTTGGGCAACCGTGGTGCTGCCTGTTGCTGTCTGGGAAGCTGCCTTATTACCAGGGCGGATGAGGTGGGGAACTCTGAGAAGGAACCAGGCAAGGCGCCACCTCACTCAGCCAGTCAGTCAGTGAGCCAGCCGGTCACGCACTCACGTTACGTCTCGATTTGCACTGACTGAATGGACTGAAAGAGGAGGGGCAATCCAAAGTCGGAGCCCAGTCCAGTCCACTCCAGGGCAAGCCGGTAAGGTATCTCGGACGTTATCGGGCCTTGTCTCAGGCGATAAGGCGACGCACCACAAGGGGGGGCCCGAAGATGAAGCTATGCTATGGTGGTCTAGGGTGGGATGCTATAGGAGCTAAGTTGCTAAGGGAGGACAAGTTGGCGCCGGGCTGAAACGGAGAAATGGAGGTTAGAGAGGGAATTGTGTGTTTGGTGGTGGTGGTGATGATGATGATGATGGGGGAAAGGAAGCGGAGGACAGCTGATTCTCAGAAAATACGAAGAGGAACAGGAACGGGAACTGACAAAGGCCTTTTGGGTAAGGTAATGTAAGGCAATGTCACATAATGCTGGCCGTCCGTCAGCCGCGGGATGATGGCTTGTACTCTCCTGTCTCCTCTCTCGCTCTCTTTTCTCTCTTCACCTATCCTATCCTCCCTTAAGTAGGGATTCTATTGACGAGATGGGAGGACAAGATGGCGCCTCAGGCCGGCTCATGTGAGACGTGTGACACACACAAAGTCCAGGCACAGGAGACGCTGATTGACTGCCTTATACCCAGATAGATAACATGCAGCAAATCCGTGTGGTAATGGGCGAGAAGGCAGCCTATGGGAGCTACCAAGCACATCTCTACCTACGGAAGAAGCATCTAATCTAGTCTAACTTGAGCAAACTAACCAAGCCCGAATTCTAGCATGGAAATGGCGGGGTGTTGGGTATGTTAGTCTGAGATGATGAATCCCTATCTTAGCCTTCCCCAATGTCCTAGAGCCTGACCTAACTGACTATCCCATACCCTGTATCCCAATCCAATGTGACTTGATATCGCAGCACGCCAGCCGTATCTATGTAAATGAGGGAATTCAAATGCGATAAGCTTCCACGTCCCTCTGGGTACGACAAATGCTGCTCTGCTCTCCCATCGAGACTGTTACTCCATGGCGGGGTAGATATGTATAGTTTGGCCTATGACATAGTCCGCATGATACCTCGTCGCCTTATCACACAATCAGTGAGTGCTAAGCGCGTGCGACCTATACATGTACCTAACCTACCTCCGTTAGTGCGGGGCGCCCACCCGCCTGCAATTGGGGGTCGAGGTAGGTACATACGCGTAAAGTGACACTTCAAGTGTTAGCTCCATTTGTATTTGTATGAGAAGGCTTCCGGCACTTCCAGAGCAACGGAGATGGCTCTTACAAGAAGGTAAGATAGTGTCTTCGAGTGTTTACAGGACTACATATGAGTATAGCGATTACCTCGTTACTCTCTCGTGAGTGGCTCATTGTTATCATCGAGTGGGACGAGGTATCGAACGCTTACGTGATAAAGCAGGTAAGCAGCCATAGCTCTCTACTGGATATCATGTGAGTAAGAAAGGGCTGCCCTCCGAGCGACTACCACCGGCAGTCATCGTTGACGTTCGGTCGGGGACTGACTACCTGCCCTACTTTGAGTTAAATGCCCCAATTCGGGATTCGAGATTCCAGACCAAGTGGCATGTAAGTCCATGTTCGCGTTTCCAGCTTCTCACACGCGAAAACTAGGTGAATGAATGATGGTATTTCCAACCACAGTTTCCCAGAATATCTGCAGACAAAATAAACTAACAGCCCCTTATTTGTACACTTGACCCTTGAACCCTTGAAGGTGCCGTGCACTATGTGCCCTCCCTTATCGTGAATGGTTATTATGCTCCTATTGGTATCATCAACGCAAAATGACCCGCGTGCCTGCGTGCCTGCTCATCATTGACCTCTCCCCCTACGGGTCAAACACCCATACACACGTACAGAACGCCAAAAACCAACCTTCCGTCTACCCATCCATATCAATGCGGCTCGGCTGATACCGTTGGCTTGTGTCGGCATACCTTGAGGTAAAGCCCGGATGTGTTCCCTATGAAGAACACTTACGCATGCTTGCTGACCAGGCAGTATGTTGAATCCGTACCAGACGCGTACTTATATGCATCGCGTATCTGTACTTCATGAGTGTGCTCCGCGAACTGGAAATCGCTACTCGACGATAACGCTTGCCGTTCACAGAATGCCGTGCCTCTGGAAGATCCTGCGCAGCGAGCTGCTGTCAAACTCTTCCTCGTCCGGGATCATCTCAATGAGACCAGTCAGGTTGGCAAACAGGTCGCCCTGGTTGCGGTACGCTAGCATAGCCGGTACACCAGCATTGTCGAACTCAATGTCCTCGTAGTGGACCTTGACAAAGTGCACCGTGGGATGTGTGCTCACCAGTGGTCGTAGAGCAGACTCAATGACATGTGATACATCAGACTGTTGGTAGAAGCATGAGTTAGTCGAGACACCATGTGCAGTAGGAGGAAGGCACCAACCTCATGGTCATACACAAAGACAACAACGACGGTCTCCCTGCCGACCTTCTCAATGGCATCGAGATAGCCCATGGCATCGACCTCGTCCAGCCGGCCATACATCCTCACACTGGGGCTCGTCCTCCTGTTGCGGATGGAACCCCCCTTGGACTCGGCCTCGAGCTCGCGCCGCCGCGACTCCCGCCACTGCTGCAGGAAGCTCTCCTCGTCCTTGTCGTCATCGCTGTGCTCCGACTCGCTCTTGTTGGCGGCCGCGCTAGCCAGGCTGTCCATGCCGAACATGCTCCTCCGCACCGCGCGGACCCTGTTGGTCCACTTGCTGCGGCGTGCCTCCTCATAGCTGCGCGCGTCGGCAATGACGCCCTTCACGCCCGTTGCCCTGCCCGAGTCGAAGCTTGCGGGCGGCAGCTTCACGCCCACGGAGGGGCTGGTGTGGTCGAACGTGGGCATGCGCATGGCGGCGTCGATCTGGGAGGAGCGGTAGCGGTCTTCCTCGTCCTCGTCGTCGTGGTCTCTGTCTCTGTCTCTGTCTCTGTCTTCCCGGGCAGCGTCGGCGCGGTCTTCTGGGTGTATCTTGTCCTCGTGGTCTGCGTTCTTGGCTAGGAAGTCTGCGAATTCCTCCTGGGCTGCGGTCTGGCCAGACATGATGGAGGAGGGTTGGCCGCGAGGGACGCAGGGTAGGTGACTTAAGTACCTCGTGGATGGCGGACAGGGCTGGTAGGTAGGTAGGTAGTAGGTCGATGGGGACGAGGTACGTATACCCCTTAGAGTAGCAGCTAAGGCGAGGTACCTGGGAGAGGTATAGGTCAGGGCTGGAATAGTAGGTCGGGTGGCTGCCACGTTATTTTGGAGAGTGGCAGGCGGTTACAGGAGGCCAATCAACAGCGGAACGGGCGAGGTAGGTGGGCAGTTCGTGTATGCCGACAAGGAGAGGGCTAAAAGGGACTGCAGCTCTTGGGGGGGTGGTCCGGAGTCAGATCGGGAGTGGGACGGGAAATGCAGTTCAGATCAGCAGGTCCGGTGTCCCTGTTGCTGAATGGAGCTGCTGGGTAACGTTATGGGTAGAGTAGGCTGAGTAGGCTTCGAGAAGCAGCCGGACTGCCCGTAAACCCTGACTTGTGTCAGACTGTTTCAGGATCAGCACGACAGTGCAGGTATGTGGCGCGAGGGAAGCAGTGGGGGGAGGAGAGGATCCGATGGGCCAAGAGGGAACAATGGATAGAAGGAAACGAGGCAGTGAGCAGGGAAGAAGCTCGACAATAATGCAAGCAACAATTCTTCGAGCTGTGGTCGGTCTGACACGTAGACAAAGAAGGGGGGAAAACGCGGTGCTGGTGGTGTTGAAGATGGTGGTGTTGAAGATGGTGGTGTTGAAGATGGTGGTGGATGCTAATTCTCGAAGGCGGCTTGAAGAGTCCAAGTCGAGGTCAGAACGTGCAGCAGCGTGCGTCGTGCAGAAGGCGGGTGGGCGGACGGGCTGGCTGGTTGGCTGACTGGCTGCTCACTTAGGTAGCCCACCAGCCCACCTGGCTAATCGCCGCGTGGGAGACTAGGATTAGCAGGCCTGAATAATGCGCCAACCCAGCAGGGATCAGGAGGGTCCAGAGTGCTGGGCAGCGCTGGGGACCCCCTTACAACATCGTCAAACGGGTACTATGTAGAGAGAGGGCAGGATCGAGATACTGGAAGGGTTCGGCGGAGAAATATGATTCGACAGTGGCTTACCTCTAGTCCACCTGCCAGGGAGGTAGGGCAGTAGAGCCAACAATGTCTCTCTTCAGCCGGAGCGGAGCTGTTGATATGCCTCGAATAGGAGATGGTGTCGAGATGGTTCGACGAGGAGGAGGATGAGGAGGAAGAGGAGGGGTATCAAATTGATCAAATGTAAGTAGGTATCTATCTATCTTTTCGTCCTTTATTGCAGGTCGGAGAGTTTGTGATTATGGGTGGATGGGTCCCAATGGGTCCCCCGTCAGCGTCTCTTGCTGGAACGTCCAAGGTGGTCCCTTGGAAGAAGAAGAGAATTGCCACGACGAAGAGGAATTGCCAGTTCCAGGATGACGAGTGGGATGTGATGTGATGCGATGTGCCCAGGTGACCACGCTCGCTCTTAAGTGAAGAGCGCTATTAGGAGTCGGGCCCAGGTATACGGTAGCAGCAGCAACAGCAAAAAGCAATCATGTCTCATTTGACCCGCTCGAGCCTCCTCACTATTAAAATACAAGACGAGAACAATGTTATTGTGTCTAATTGTGTAGCTTATTATTAGGCATGTATGTTCTTGTCAGAGAAACCTTGAGGAGGAAGTCAGAGATTAGGTCGCATTGTGCTCACAACAAGCCTCTCTCTCATCGAGAATGACTCTGAATGAGCCATGTCAACGACTATCACCACCGCCACTCCTGCTACATACCGGTACTCACTTTGCACAAGCAACCTCGCCCCTATCCTATCCGCGGGGACCTGTCCTTGCTTGTCGTGTTCAATTAAGGCTCATGGGCTAATCAAAGGGGCAGTGTTGGTACTTCTGTCCTGGGACATGATCTTCATCTAGACCCTGCAGGGGCGCAGGGGAGAACAGCGGTAGCGATGTGGCTACCTACACGTATTTGCTATTCAAACAACGCCACAGCCATAACGTGAACAGCCTGCGATGCCTCATTTAAAATTCCCGACTCGACGGCGTCTTTTCTCTATGCCGCGCTACTGCGTCTTCTCGGCGCCTTCTAACGCCGGCCTAGATGGAGATAGGTTCGACGACTTGCTGACTGCGGCCCCGCCGAAGCAATAGTGCGTCCAGTAGCCTCTTCGTTCAGATGCATGTAATCATAATTTGAACGGATGTTCCAGTGGGATCCTGAACTTGAGACATAACAATAGAGATAAAGCCGTATAAGTCCAAAGCTACGTCAACAATGGATCTTAATCACGGCTCTTGGAATGAAAGAGTCATGCGAGCAGCAAGGGGCCCTGCTTGGTCCGATGTCTTGACTCCGCGGCGTCATCGTCTGCCGTCGCCATCCCCTGGCATAGGAGAATTTAGCACGTTCTCTCGACGGCTTCTGGAAGACTGGCAAAGACGTGAATAGCAACCGAGAAAGCCAGAAGCCCCCTCGAGGCCCCCCCTTTTCCCCACCGGCAATGGTAAGCTGAGCTTGCGTCTCCTCCTCGGTCCCATTTCCGCAGCTTCTATGCGCTCCCCTGCGCTGCTACTGCATCGCCATAAAAGAATGCTGATGCGCTGTATGCCGGCGGAGCTGCACCGCAGTCCACCATTCGATTCAGTCAATGAGCGTTAGTCGGACAAAATGTCGCCTCACTCAAGCTGCATGTACCTAAACAATTGAGTTGGATATACTATGTATGCGGCCGCCACTGGTAGTTGGCCTACAAGATCCTCTCCACAGATCCGCACTATTGTGGCTGCGCTAAGAGGGCTGCTGAAACAGACAGGCCTCTCGCCTGAAACACAACATCCATTTAGCCAAGACGCATGCCTGTCTGCCAGACCAGGACCAGCCCTGACCGCAGGCAAACCTGATCCCAGGTGAGCGGTCAGCATCGAAAACACCAGACCCTCGAACATCCATCCTTCTTCAAGGACCATGTACCCGACAAGACCATGGCTAGGCGGCAATGTTTGACCCATCCTTGCCCATGATGCTGGCCTTCTATGAGAGTCGGTGACGCATGGCAAGGCATAATGCTCAGTAGAGCCTGTCCATCCTCGCCGGCGCGATGAGACCTTCGGCAAAATGCATGTGACGCTGAGGCTCGAGGCTTTCCAAGAAATGCAAAAGCTGGGAGGCGAGCATCTCTATGAGCTTCTGATCTTCTCCCTGGGGCCGAGACGGCATCATCGAGCCGCGAGGTGCTCAGGACTAGACCCCGAGAGCCTTCTCTCGATGGTTTCTTACGACGTGACGCCCGGGAACTTCTGGTGCGTAGCACAAGCTTTAAAACGGCCCTTGTGCCATCTTTCTCGGTTGATCGTGCCACGTTTTGCGGCGGCAGAGGATCTCGTTGATATCTTCTCATACCAGCCGCGTATGATACTGCCAATGGGAGAGCTAAGCCGGCTCCGGATGCGAAGGGCAGCTAGCCAGGAAGATTCTCGAGCCAGGCCGCAGCCAGCTCCTTCCTGCTATGTCCCTGACAAGGACCTTCGAGGTAAGAAACGCAATAATGAATCGTGAGGAGTCTCTCAACGATGTCAATTGATTCACCCATCACCACAATACAATTGAAAGGCATCACTCCTCGTTCACGGCCATCGCCAAGGACGGCAACGCCTCGAGAGTCAGGTGCTCGCAGAACGGTAAGGCTGGCATCTTGCCAGCCGGCGTCTCCTCCATGTCCAGCCATGCCCTTACTTACGTCAATACAAAGCTGGTCCCTTCGAGAAGAATGGCTTGGCAAAGCATAAAATGAAGTTCACTCGAGATATAAGTCTGGTCTCCATCCATCTTGAGTAGTAAGCCATTGCTGCTATGAATAGCTGCGGTGATTGACCTCCTGGTAACTCTTACCTCCCACAATTGTCCTCTCGTGATATAGTAGGAATTACCTGTCAAGGGTTAGGGGACGGTAGGCATAGGGTGTGTCGGGCACAACCCGTGTGCTGACATGGTTCTCGATGAGAGAATGGCATTTGTTCTGATAGTCTTTTCGCCAATACGTCTTTATGTGTGATGTGCGGAAGGCTCAGTAGAAGCGGACTGGGGCTTAGAGTTGAAGGTGGTAATGGCAAAGCGGGATCCAGTTCATGACGGTAACGCCAGAGCTTCTAACATCAAGCGGCCCAACATCACAGATCAGCACAATCAACCAGCAATGGAGTTTAAGTTTCAACAGAGCATTCAGTATAACTATAGTACAGGCAAATATAATAGACTTGAGAAGTCCCCTCGTGGCGCCTCGTTCAGTTCAATCTTCCTCCTACGCTTAAACAAGCAAAATCCAAGAGGCTCGAGAACCAACGACGGACTGGAGGAAGACTTCAACGTACTCAACGGGTTCGCGAGGAATAATCAGTCGTATAGAGAAGCCGTACCACAGCAATCCTCCCTCCCCTCGCGCTCTGTATGGCCGTCTCGTTTCGAGACCAGCCGGTGGACCGTTTTACTTCCCAGACTTTTAGCAGTATCAACAGTGGCTGCGAAAGAGATCAAAGCCATATTCTTCTACCGTTTCCCCCTTGACTAACTCAAACAATACAATGACAACTTCCCGAGGAAACACTGAATATGAAACTGGCGGGGCTAGAAGGAGGACTGAATGTGCGAGAGGGTTATTCGATATGGCCTCAGTGGCATGGTTACACCAATGTACTGGCTCTTCTGATGATAGACCCCACACTATGTTGACACAAGGCGAGATGTAGCACAGATGATCAGGTACCCATGAGCCACCCGATCAAATATTACAGCTCGACCAACATGCCAGTCTGACTTAAGTCTCGTGGTAAAAAGACATATTTCTAAGATACCATAAAGCTGCTGCAAACGATGAAACCTTCTTTCAAAGTTCCAGGAAAAGCCAGTACGCATGACGTAGACTCCAGAGCGGACATAGATGCCGAGAGAGGACTTTGGTGCAGAAGCCACCGGTCAAGATGCTATCCTGAGCAGGTATCTGACTATATCAAGAATTCTGAATTGAGGTTCGAGAAGGGCGAGGAAGAGTGTTTCGGCAAAGGGATTTTGGTATGGTTGCAATAGAGTCGTGACTTCGTCCTGTTACGCCGGGTGCCGAGGATTAAGAGGGCGTATGCAGGTGAATTAAGAGCAAAGAAAGTACTCGCGAATTCGAAGTGGCGTGCTAGGTATGGTATATTCAGACGACGGTCGTTTAATCGTCACCAAGGCGTTTAATATGCCCAGATTTTGAGCTATCAAACCAGTCAATCGCTGTATCTGGGTATTGCAGACGGCGGCCTATGAGCTGCCGGTATGGGGAATGTATGCTTACCAGTGAATCCCAAGAACCAGTGCACAGACTTATGCCGTCGTTGCTCACGCCCAAGCAGCTGACGCGGTTCTCGTGGCCGACAAGTGAACCAACCTTCTCACCTCGAGTCACGTCCCAAACCTGTGAACATTAGTTATCGCCCCAAACCAAGGAAGCAATGTACTTCTCACCTTGCACTCGAAATCGTCATAACCAGCAAATAGCAGGCGGCCAGACACCGAGGTAGCGACTGAGGTGATACCGCAGAGGATTGATTCCGACTGGCATTCAAGGTCAGCATTACACATATGAATGCAATCGAGTGTTGACTTACGCCGTAGACGTTGAGTTCACGGTCAGCACGAATATCGAACAATCGGCAAGTAGCGTCATCGGAGCCGGTTACGAAAGAATGACCGTCAGGGAAGAATTGGATGGCGTTGATATCGGACTCGTGGCCTGCAAAAGTCTGGACCGCCTTACCCGCTCGGATATCCCACAACTTGGCGAAGGCATCGCAGGCACCAGAAATGAAGGTGTTCTGGTTTGTTGGGTTCAGGCTGATACTCATGACATCACCAAGGTGGTCGGCGAATTCGATCACTTTGGTGCCAGTCTCAATATCCCACTTCATGCATGTCATGTCTCCGGAGGAGGTCAAGATACTCCGGTCATTGATAAAACGACAACAGGAGAGATAGCCGGCGTGGCCAGACAACTCACGAGCCACCCGAGTCGGGCCATCCCGATTCTGATTCAGGTTGTAAATGGAGCAAATATTGTCCAAACCACCGCACGCAACGTAGTTTCCGCTTGGTGCGTAGGCGCAAGTCATGACCCAGGACGACCTAAGAGGAATTGCGTGGACTTTGTTGGTGGTGTAAGCATCCCAGATGATGAGCTTGCCGTCTTGCGAGGCGGAAACGAGATGCCTTCGGTCAGTAGACCAATGCATGGCGTAGATCTTGGCCAGATGGCCCTTCAGCGTCCTCTTGGTCTTCATCAGCTGGTTCTTCGGGATCGGGTCGTGAGCTTGCTGCGCAACAGCGCGCACTGAAATGAGGTTAGCACCATCGGGCAGCAGTCACAAACTGCGCAAACGATTGCAATGCATTCGCAGCGCAGTTGTGGTATAGGCAAGTCTCACATGTGGTATCGGCGAGCTCATCCTTCTTCCTCTTGATTCGGTCCTTTAGTGTCTCAGCCTCGCGACGCGCCTGCTGGATCCTCGCCTGCATCGCCTCGGGCGACACATCATTTGGTCTTTGCGAATCCATTGTGGTCATTGACGACGGTGATGGCGGGACTGTCGGATGGGCGATGGGCGGCTCTCCGTCGATGGATTGGGAGGTCGAATTGCACTGGCTGAACACGGGTCAACGGGGAAGGAGGGAAGGAGAGCAGTTAGTTCTGGATGTTGTGGGAGAAAATGCAAGCTTCCAGGGGGCCTGGGCGGCGCGGACCAGTAAAACAGCTAGCACGGCCACTAAGCTGGGCCAAAAAGATTATCGATGGGCCGCAGAGTGGAGAGGGGGAGGGTGCGCTACCAAGGTAGTATGGTGTGCAGTGCGGTACGGTAAGGTCGACGGGGGGGAAAGCACGATGAGAGTAGAGTGGTTGAGGAGGAGGCAGGTGCGTCTGAAAGGGAGGAGTGGTCAATTAGAAAGCAGCCAGCAGGTGCGACCGGGGGCTAGGTAAGGTTCGGCCTTTGGGAAGGTGCAACGGCTCGGTTGCTCCTTTCTTTCTTGTCCGGCCCACTCACTTGGCACTCACCTAATTGGGTCCCTCACTTTTAAAGGTGCTCGTTCGTTCGTTATTCACTGGTGGCACCTGCCAAATGGACGACTTTGCGACGGTGATGTGACGGCGAGGGAACGGCCTGAGTGCTGGCTGGTAGACGCACAGTGGACTCCTGGTGGATGAATAAATGGATGGATGGATGGCGACCTGTCGGTGAGACGGATGAGATACAGAGAAAGGAGAGGATTTTCAGGGTGAGGACCGGAATCAATGAACTACAGCACCCAGGATTGGCTCACCGCGACACGGTAACCAAAAGAGATCACAGAATTGCAGCTTTCTGGGAATATTAAGGTCCTCTCAATCGGGCATGGCTC